AATAAACCAAAACATGTTATTATATTACTATAGCCTGTATTTTTGCTAAAAATTGTCCGACTTCAATTTTTATTTTTTTTTTTTTGAGGGAAATTTAATAATATTCCAATTAATCATAAGTACATTCGAGAAATGTACATTTTATGCTATTCGCAAATAAAGTTTCTTTTCCGTCATAACTTTTTTTCCTGAAAGTTCGGAGGATATGGCTATGTTTCCACACATGAAGGATGAGATCTTCAAAATGAAGGCTCAATGATTAGATTTGATAAAGACTTGAAGAAGATATGGTTTAACGACAAAAAATACTTATGCTAATTAATATATAAATATATGTAGAGCTATGATTTAAATACTCTCAGTAATGGACTTCTTCTATACTCTTAATAAGTAACATAGCTACAAAGCGAGGCTCTTTTGCACCAAACAAATGAGTCCTGAGCGACTACTATAGTGATTTAGTAAATCTTATTATTTAATTATTAAACTAGAGGGATATTTTTCTGTGGCAACAGAGCCAATCACTTATTAATAAATTGTTATTTTACCAGTTGAGATAAAGTGTGAAGCTTTGTGTGTGTTGAATAGACACTTGATAATATCATATTCAATATATGAATACACATATTTCTCGCTTACTGCCCAATATGTGTATAAATACTTGGTAAACAAGTTTAATTTAATCTATGATTTTAAAGAATTGAATCATTTATTTTATAAACAATACATGCGACATTTTTAAAGTACTGAAAAAAAACGCAAAAAATAATTAGTACTAAATTTTCCATAAATAAACATTCCATTCACTCAATATTTACACTTTATTTGATAACCGAAAAACAATATAGCTCTGCTATTTCTGAAATAAATGAATTGCTTGTAGTATATTTTTGCCATTAATAAAATATTACCAATATAACATTAAGTGGGGTTGATCCATGAATAAGTTTAAAAAGAATAAGAAAAGGAATACCAAGATGTAATTTGTTTAAATATCAGAAGACATGTTATTTATATCCGATAATAAAAATGTGTACATGTGATTTTTTTTCTGAACAATCTACTAGTCCGTTATTATTTTTTTTTTTTTTTTTTCAGTATTTGCATTCTGGTGGGAAGGCTGTCTCTGTCTAAAAGGTTCAGACTTGATCCTCCTGGCTAAAGCCAAAGCAGCGGAAGAAAAATTAAACCCAACAACTGAAGAGGTAAAGTACAGTACTTAATTCAATTGGATATGGAATTAATGTATGAATTTCATGAAGCCAAATTTGGTTTTAATAGAGTAAAAAATAATAATAGTTTAATCATTATCTGCCTATTAAATTGAAAATTTTAATTTAAAAAAAAATTATGTGCCACGAAATATTTTTAGTCAGAAAAAAAGTGTGACTGATAAAGAAAGCCGTAATATTTATTTATATTTCATTGAGATAATATTTATTTGTTTGAGCACTGAAATATTCACACAATTAAATATTAAATAATACTATTTATGAATAACAATACCAAGTATTTATGAAATCGGACCCCGTATTATATTAAGCACAGGAATATTACGAATTGAAGCCTATACTAATCTTTCGGCGAAACTCGGATACGCGCTCGGATTTCTTCGGTCCTCTATTGCGATCCCTTATTTTTCCTTTAGTTAACTATCACATTCATTCATATTTATATTTAATATCATTAAATTATCATAAACCATTTGTTATGACTGGTTATAATGTGAAGTGGTTAATTATTTCAAATAAACGTAAGTGAAAATCCACCAATTAAGCTCTGTGAGACTACATAGATGACGATAAAAAATACCTTAAATTGAAAAGCAGTTAATAATACACTATTCTTATGAGTTTAATCAAAATCGTTACAGCCGTATTCGATAAAATTGTAAAAATATAGAAAATAATGACGTAAGCACTTCCGGTGAGACGATTTTGACGAAAATGTAACCATTACATTCCAGCCATGCCTATACCAGAAACCTTAAATATGAAAGCTCAGATTTGTACGATTTTTTGTTTTTGAGCTAGACTGTTCCAAACATACACACACAGAGACCATTTTTCGAGATTTGGTTATTTGGACTCAAGAGACCACAAAACGTGTATTTTCGTGGAAATCTTCACGATCGCAATAGCTTACTGTATATTTTATATACAGGTAACCGAAAATAAAAATATAAATTTTCATATTATTTTAGTTTTTATGAAAATAATAAATAGCTACCGATTTATCATAGAAAAAAACCAAAGCTGTTATAGAAATTCACAATTAAACTGTAACTGGGGTTCATTTCACGAAAAGTAGTTATTTCGTCGATGGAAAGTAAGTGGAATTTTCCGTGACAAGAACCCTAATTTAAAACTCATCCGAAATCCACTCAAGCTCGACTAATTGGTTTAAAACAGTACTGACTCCCAAGAATAATAGATCAAGAATAAGGCAAACACTACCCCTCCACATTAGAGAAACTGGTAGCAATTATTTTGTATTTTATATAATAAAAGTAATTAAGATAATGGTACTTAATTAACATAATTATTGAAGGAACTGATGAGGTCTCAATGAGTGGAAATAGAAAATATCCAAATGATTGAATATCATATTGTCGTGTTAAATTGCATTGACTGCGACTATATCGTTGCTAATATTATAGATACAGGTATCATAACAGTCACTGTAGTGTAATAAAAAGAGAAAACTATAATAGAAATTGAATTACAAATGATAGATGAGAAAGTGAAACCCGAGACACTTCAACTGTAACAACTCAGACATATAATTCATAGTAATTAAATATATGATACAATATAGTCATTAAAAAAAATATTATTGTAAAACTCATTTTCCATCGAATGTTGGTTGGGGTTTTATCACAAAAAAATAGCAGTATTCAGGTATATTTTCTTTTTTATTTAATGTTCCTTTACACATTATTTGTAAAATAATTTGTAGTAATTATTACTTGACTTTACTAAACATGCGATAAATAATGACAAATAATTAATTATTTATTATTGCTGTTCAAGCTTTTTGGTTCGGATATTGAATTTTTATTCTGGCCATATTGGGACCTCAAATAAGTCCCGCGGACCACGGCTTTTGATTGAAAAAAAAAAGCTTGTTCTATAAATGACGCTTCAGTTGTGAAATGAGCTTTATATGAAAAGCAACTTATACAATAAAAGATGTAGTAGCCTTTTCATATTTTAAATAGTTTTTTAATTTGAAATATTTAACCAGACGGATGGAAGGTGCCTACAGGGTGAATCTGGCCGTGGGCCATAGTTTCAATGCACCAGTTTTGGATTAAAACATAGTTAATACCAATTTCAAAACAACCCCTGTTCTTGAATGATGTTCCTATGTGCGACTGATCTATTCTCAACCCAAACTTTTCCTCCCCCAATCGAAAAAAAATATATAATATGGCACTGATGTCTTATAAATAATATAGCAATCACGTAAAATAATAATAATAATTTAACGATAATTTATAATATAACTGAGTCTAAGAAATGAGATAAACTATTTGTATCCACCAACTTTCAACTAAATGTTCAACAAGTTTTTGCAGTTTTTTTTTTTAATTATAAATATTTTCTAAAGGAAGGAGATGGTCCGGGGTGGCGGTCATAAATAGGCTAAATAGTGGCAAAACTATTTTATTAAAAGCCAAATTGAAATTATTAAAAGCCTATTTATGACAGCCACCCCGGACCATTTCCTTCCTTTATAATTCAACGGTCAACTATAAAATATCCAATATAAATATTGTCTGTTATGTTATAAATATTTATCATTTATTTATTAAGTAACATTGTTAAGAGCCATGTAATTCGAATTTCTATACAAGATGTCTGTAAAGATTGAACTCGTTTGATGTTAATAAAAAAAACATTCATTTTTTTCATGAATATAAAAATGTTGGTCCTTCAAATTTTTATTTTTATTATATCTTTATAGGTATAAATGTGTTTTATTTATTTTAACTTTTATCCATAATTTAATTTTTTGTACATATGTATATTAATTTTCTATATTTCTTTTTCTTTATTATCCCTATTTTAGTTATTATTTGTATGGTCATGTTGTGTCAATGATTAACCACTCCTAATATTAATGCCCTTCAATGTGACAGAATGTATTGATATCCAATTAATAAAACAAAACAAAAATTATATCTTTAAAAACTTAAATAAAAATTTTTAACATTATTGGCATAGGATCAGCCTCTACGATTTATTAAACCTTTTCTCTTACATAAGGACCATGAGCCATGGATTTCATGTAATATAAAATTATTATAAGATAATAAATATAATAATCAAACTTTTAGTAATAAAAAAGAGAACTCTTCCGGTCACCTGATATTAAAGAAGATGGAACCAATCTGTTTCACTGAAAGAAAATTAATAACCCACTTCAGTGCCTCTTAAATAATTCCCTGCTACTTATGGAAATTTAAACCGTTTACTGGGATTACTGATTTTTAAGATGGAGCGCATTTATAAAAAAAAATCTACCGACGACTTGCTAAATTATGTCGGTCTATTGGACACAAGAGAAAGTTGTTAACCTGGAGCGATTTTCTAGTTCCATTGAGTGATTTTGCTCCGTATTATCTCCATACGGATTGCCTGGCTCGTGTTGCAGCCAGTATTTAGCGCCGGTGAAAGGATCTAGTCTAATATAGGCTCGCCTGCAGCCGATCTAACGCGCACTTTCGAGAATCGTGATGGGTGAAAAGTATGGACCATCGGAAGTGCTATCACTTTGTACGATCGTTCTTGATGCACATGTTTCGCTTTCAATGAATTATTATGCCATTATTTTGATGTTAGAAGAAGCATTATTAATTCTATTTACATTACATTCGGTTAAATAAATTTGTATAGATTCTAGGTTTAGGTTCTCTTCCTGTCATGACAAATGGTTGTGAAACGCGGATAATTGACCAGAAGACTTGTCAAAAATTTAGGATAACCGTCAGAGGAATGGAACGATATCTCCTCGGAATAACACGAAGGGATAGAAAAGCGAATAAATGGATCAGAGCTAAGACTGACCTTCCAGATATTGTGGAAAAGTTGCACATCAGGAAGTGGATCTGGACCGGACATGTAATCAGGAGGAATGAATTAACATGAACCAGGCAGTTTATGGATTGGTATCCAATATATTGGTCTTATCCATCTCCGTGACTGGGACAAGGAGATGAAGAAGACCTGCGGGAGAGCAGCCTGAAAGCGAGTAGCATTGGAAAGGAACGAGTGGAAACGTATGGGACAGGTTCATTAACTAGTGTGGTTGCAAGAGGGCTGGAAATGAAAACAAAAAACGAAAAGAAAACAAATAAAGAAAGAGAATCAAACTCAAAACCTCAACTAAAATGTTGATTTTGTACATATAAGAATGTCAAGTATAAATCAAAATGTAAAGATTTTGTATATATCTATTTTTTATCCATTGTTTTTTGCGTTGTATGTACAAATAAAGATGATAAATTATTATTATAGGTTCTAGAAGGAGTTGAGTAAATTGTTGGGAAGATTCTCCCTCATAATCTAATTCAATGCGCCTAAAGATTTCAACCACTCCTCTAAAGTGTATAATAAATCAACGCTTTGTATAAGTTATGTTCGTTTATTGAACATTTTAACAGTTCAAACTTTAACCTTTTTCATTATACTTAAATTAATCATTAAAATAAAAAATAATTTGGAAAAATAAAATCGTACAACGATCATTATCAAGAGACAATTAATATCGCACCTTAATTTTTTTTTTTTAATTTTTAAGAGAAAAAAATGTTATTAATAATAACCAAGGGTCTTTTGTGTATTCTGAGTTTATATTCCGCGAAATTTCATATGAAATTATAAACATCCCTCTATAACTACGAGAATAGCTTCATCTTATGTTGACCTAAAACCTTTCTATTTAAAGGTAAATTTTCAGAAGCCGAGCGTTTTCTAATTAATTTAATGAGGTAATAAAAATTCATCATTACCGATTTACTTTAAAAGTGGTAATGATTACCGATTTACTTTAGTGGCCTACAAAAATATTGGGCCGTTTGGCGTGACCTTCACCTCCAACATACCAAATTGACGAGGTTATACAGGCTAAACGGCCCAATATTTTTGTAGTCCACTTTTTTTCTAGATTTTGGGATAGAATTATCTCACGATTCAAGTGGAAAGTACATCGGCAATCATGAGTTTTTATTACCTCATTAAGTAGACAAAGTTTACTGATCTCCAGATTGAAAACTCCCCAATTCCCAAAGTATTTGCTAAACTTTTAACAAATTTAATAATAAGTGTTTTCTAAATAGAAGTATAGTTTTCTTTGTAAAATGTTATTTATTCTTAAAAAGAGAAAAAATAGCGTGAAGAAGCGTTAAGGAACTTCCTTAGTCATTTGGTGAGGAAGAAATTGAAAGCGAACGTATACACCCGGAAAAATCGAATCAAATCATCCTTTTAAGAAGAAGATAATAGAATTCCGTTATCATTTTGCAGTTGCAGCAGCCAATACTCAAACTTCCATCAGCTGAAAAGAACACCCCCTCACATTATAGATGTTTTTGAAAGATAATCTTACCAAATGTCGGGAAAGTTTTTGAGAAAGTCTTAGAGGAAAGGCAGATTAAAACCAAAATTTTAATAAATGACATATACAAACAAGAAGCATTCCAAAATATAAGAGTTCAGCACCTAAAGCCCATATAATTAAAATGCTATCTTACAATTACTGTTCAACCCACTAACACCCCATCTAGGGAGCTGATAAAGGAAAGAATTAGGCAGCAATAAAAATAAAGGGTAATGAATATATGAAGATAAGAAAATTATCAAATAAACCAAAGCAAAAAATAAGTGACTAACAGAAAGCTTGTAAATAAATATATGATACAAAAAATACATACAAATACAAAACATATCAATTATAATTTTCCATTTAAATATCGACCATATGCCTTGAATGTAAAAAGGCTATATTGAAAATAAATTATTACTTTTTTAATTATTTATTATGATATTTACAACTTTATTACAATATAAATACATCGAGTAAATGTATACACAGGCAAGTAATCGCATGAAAAAGCTTGTTGAGAAACTACCAACTGAAAATAAATTTTAAATTTTCTATCTTGATAAAAAATAAAAAAACATTTATTGACATGGTATAGAACTGTCTCTTCAGTTCCTAACTACAAATTAATGACCAATTTTTTTAGTTTTCAAGAACTAAGACAACTTCCTCAAAGCTGTCATGTGATACGATATGCTATCCAGAAATTTCTTTCTTTCCAATCTTCAAACTTTTACGAAACTGTATTAAAAAGCAATTTCACAAAAAATAATCATAAGGAAGTTAAATAGTATATTTTGTTTACTAATACTTTTGGTTGGTTACATCTATTTGGTTTTATTATAATTTTCCCCCAAAAATGAAAAAAAAAGTTATTTAATATGATACAGTCCGAAATTAAAAATTATAAGTTTAAATAAATTAAATTAATCTACAATTAATTTGATACCTATGAGATATTGATAATAATTTATTTTATTTATTAGGTTATTGTCGGCGAAGATGGTAACACGACAACTGTGGTGGTCAAGAAGTCCTTGCTGACAGGTATTCCGCAGAAAGACTACATCCATGACCCCAACCTTCCGAGAGAACTAAAGGGACACAATCTCACGAACTACCCATTTTACAACGCAGTCCCAGAGGACATAGAATTCGAATGCGATGGCCTCCACGATGGGTTTTATGCCAGTGTCCCACATCATTGCCAGGTTAATACTCATGTTTAATTTAGCAATATTCATATAATTTTTAAAATAGTTGGAAGTTTAGTAATCAACATAGCATAGTCGTGGTCTGAAACCAATGACGATGAAAGCATAGAATCAATCATACCACTAGGTAAGTTGGAAACTGATTCTAAACAACATAGCAGATCTGACACCCAAATTCTTAAATGAGAAACGTAAAGGTTTTAGCATAACCATCTATTATAAACAAATAATATACATTTATAATTACAAGATAATGATAAAGAAATAAATTAATTATACAAACATTATAAAGTAAAGAATAAATTATGATCTAATGTCAACACTTTATTACAGCTTTATCACCACTGCTTGTTTGGGACCAGATATGATTTCTTATGTGCCAACTATACCGCGTTTGATCAGAAAACGTTCATCTGTCATTTCGTATCAGAAGTAGACTGTGCAAACTCTCCAAAATACTATGTTAGGTAAACAAAATAACATTAATATTATTAATTCTGTTTATAATGAAAAAAAGGATGTTGTTGTAACAAAGTGTTTTACTTTTAACTTCCGTAAAATTATTTTATGTTATTGTTTTGTTTTTTTAATTAGAAATGAAGCACTTTACAAGGCTGCATCTTCCGCTCCACCTTCTACAACTACAACAGCTACCACAACAACAACAAAACCTACTACAACAACCCGCAAACCTCGCAGAAGAAGACCATCTAGAAGGAGGAGACCATATTATGACTACTACTATGACAGTGAAGAGTACGATGATGAATATTATGATGAAGAAGAGGATGATCCTCTTCCACCACCAAGGAAATCTGGGAGGAAACAGAGGCCATCACAGGGTTAGTGAACTGGAAGTATTAGTTAAGGACACAGTACAGATTGTCTTATGAAATCCTTGGGTACCTCGTTTTATATTAGTGCTAATTTAAAGAAATAAAATCCCACATTATTATCAGTTAAAATTAATTATAATTAAGCTGAAATAATTAGAAAAGGATATTCAAAGACATACTTTATAAACCAATCTCCTATTATCTCAATTTTTTATTTGACCAGGACAGAAAGACTGAATGAAAAACTTAAACACACTCCACAATGGACAATATAATATTACTGTGAAAATATTTGAGTTTATATAGGAAAAATCAACTTTGCGAACATTTATTTTGATTAATTGTTTCATTTTTATAAGAGAAATGGTTTTATATGACTGACTTTCTCAAAAGATCACAATTATAAAACAATACTATTCCGTATAGAATAAGTGCATATCTTCTATTTAGTTGATACTTCTACCGAATCAAAAGATCATGCCTGATCATTTTCCAAAATACGTTAAGTAATAATGTTATAACAAATTCTAACAAGTAAAAATTAGCAAAGCTGATACCACAGAATTACTTGAACTATTACTTCAATTCAAAAAGAAAATACTATTAATTCACCAGTTATTCCACAAGCAAGTAAAACAAGAACATACAAGAAGAGAGGCTGAAGGGAGAGAAGCTAGAGCAAAGAAATATACACTAAAAAGAGAAACAAAAAAATGCAAAATTTGATCAAAAGAGATCAAAGTTTTTCAAGATAAGCTTAAAAGCACTAACTAAACGGATATCATAAATTCCATGAAAAAAAATTTGTTATTACTTAATTGTTTATGTACAGGACTCCCAAAAAATCATTAAAAGAACCATAATCACAAGTTACAGAAACTAATTACATCAAAACATTAGGTCATAAGAAATATGGAATCCTTCTACAATACTTCTGGATAACAATTTTAAAAATAAATGGTTTTATTACTAATCTAACAACAGTTATCCATTAATTAATGGTATACCAATAACAATCAAACTAGCAATGTCAGTAATTATCCATAATCTCCTAATTTTCTTTGAAATTGCAATCAAAGATAATGAAGTGTTATCCTGTAATTCTATTTGTTCTTATTAAAAAATATAAGAATAATATTAATAATAATAATAAGCTACGATGGTACAGTTACATTATCAATCGCTAGGAATGAATCTGACCCTAGCCTCAAATTCTCCAAAACAAAATTCTGCATTCTAAGGTGACAGATGCTTGTCATTCACTAAAGATATAAAATTCATAAAAATCGTGTCAGCTTTTCAACTGAATAATTTTAGCCAAAGTTTTTATATTTAACAGTTTCGAGTATATATTTGTTCCAAAAGTTCCAAAACTAGCACCACAACCCTGAAGGGTCTGGGATCATCTGATAGGGAACTTCCATCTCATGACCAACAGTTACACAAGGAGGTGATGTGGTCAGCAACCAACCTCAACCACAATGTTTATCTAACGTAACCTGAGACAGTCTATGCCTCAGAAAAGTAGCCCCGACACAACAGTCTGTTCTAACTGTATAAATAAATATAATAGATTAGTAAATATAAACATTGAAAGCTAATCATTTAAGATAAATGGAATAAGTCTACATTGAGGCTAAATAGAACAAAGAAGTAAAAGAAGACATGAAGAGAACACAATTATAGAATAATTCAATGTATGATATGGTTGATTTAAAAAAAAATTCTTACATCAAATCATAATTATTTTTTTGTTATCAAGTCATCATCAATATTTTCAGATTTACTGAGACTTGAAAGCTTAAACCTTCCCAATCTTAATTCATGAATAATAAATTTAATATAAATCCACAGTGTGACTTCAATGTAAAATTGTCAAATTTCATTCCTAATATTATTGAATTTAATTTTTAGATAGCAAAATTATTCTTTGAACTATAGAAAGTACTATATGGTAGCAGACATTAAATATCTTAATTATACAAATGTCATATACATATAAAGTAATAAAAATAGTAATAATATACGATGGGAATCACTAATATTAAAAGGAGTATGTGTTCTAATTATTCAGTTGAATCTGCAGGAACGAAAAAAAAGGAAGCAGAAACTACAACCACCACCACTACAACAGCGGCACCACCGCAAGCAGGAAATGAACCACCGCTAACTCGAGCACCAGCATCAGTGTACTCAAGGAACAGGATACCCCCTAAGATTCGGCCTCCTGTACCTGTAAATGAGAAACATAAGTACGAGTATAAGACAACAACAGCGAACAAAGATCTAGATGAAGATGATGAAGAGTACTACGATGATGAATATGATGATCCCCCACCACCTCCTCCTAAAAAGAAGGACACCGGTAAGAAACTCCAAATTCATTTAAATTGTTCAGTAGATGCATGGATGCAAAATGTAGATAGACTATATGAAGAGAACTGCACTCATTGTAGAGAAATGCACGTCATTTAACCATTACATTGCTTGCTAAAGTCATATTCAAAGAAGGAATTGTACATCATTATTGAGAATATGGTGAAGATTTTAGTGACATTCAAATATTCAAAGAATTGTTCAGAAAATAAAATATATAAAAATTTTAGAAAGTTTCCAATTTTACAATAAAATCAGAATATAGTTTGTGTGTATTTCTGTGATAATAAATATTTTCCTAGCAAATGCACTTTAACATAAGTACAACTTTAAGAAATGGTAGGTTCTTTGATAATGAATAAATAAACGAATTATATTTATGAATACAAATAATTATACCTATTGGAAATTACATATTCTTTAAATAAAGATAACAAAGAAAAAATTATTCAAATACTATTTGTTTATCCATAGAATATTATTATTTCAATCTTTTAGTTTCTGACTGATTTTCATGACTATTTTTAGTAGAAGAAACATGTAGTTGTAACAGCATGGACAGAATTAATTTTTTTGTTATAAGTAATAAGTCAAAAATGTTTCAAACCTTAGGAAATGTAAATATCAAATTATCATTAAGTTTAGAGCATGGACATTACACTATCAATTTGGGAGAAAATAAAAACTAGATAGATGGTTTCAGGAAAATTCACTAAATACTGTAAACAGTATATTTAAATAAACTGTAAAATTATAATGAGCATCACTTAATCAAAGGCACAAATGAACATTTAAGGAATGCACAGTAATGTTTTGAAGCTGTAATTGCTGTTTCAGGTCGTGATAAGATGAACCGTCGCAGACAGCAAGGAGGAAGGAAGCGACCAAGTAGATTTGAAGATGATGAATATGAGGATGAAGAAGAGGAAAGACCAAGAAGAAAAGGTAGCAGGAAAGATGATGATTATAGAAGACATCGAAATAGAAAAGGTTATAAATACCAATCATAATGAATTCTGTGGAACCATATAGAATGTTGTAAATATTTTTCAAAATAGTTGAATAATAAATTTTCTTAATTCACTAAAAATGTGACTGATGGGACTAAAAACATGATTTTTGAGGAAACATGTGTCCATTTTATTTAATTTATTTTTAATAAAAAGTTTAAAAAACCATAAAGAAAAACTAGATTAGTTTCATTTTCTTCATGGTACCGCAGAATGATAATTATTGTTGTGAAAATATAAGTAATAATTAAGAAAACTTCACAGCTTTTTCTTTTCTTTCATTTTCTATTCTTTAATCAATAACCCTTGCATGCTCATCCTTGCAACCTCATTTTCTTACCAAATTCTTTACTCTGCACTTCTTCTAAATGACAATTTACACCTCCAGAAGCTTTCACCTGTATTCTTTCCACTAAGCAAATTGGACAAAGTACACATTGATAACAAGGATATGGAATAATTTATTGATGGTAAGGTAATTTTTACAATTATCTAACCAGTTATCTTTACTTCTCAGTAAGTTAATTGCTTAATTAATTTTATTAGCTACAGGTCTTTGAATCACCCTACATTTTTCACATCTATTCTTCTGATTTCAAATGGACTAGCATAATTTGGAGAAAATCTTACTTCTATATTATAATCATATGAACCAAATTAATAATAAAACATTTCATCATTTTTCTATTAAAAATAAGAGCAAAAAAAAATTCAAAAAACTTGTTATAAGTCTGAAGCAATATGCTTGCATTGACTACGTGTTTCACTGGGTGCAATAGTACAGCAAGATTAAAACTATGAGAGATGATGAAAATAAATTATATATTGAAACAAAAATAATGTTTTTCAAAATCATAAAGAGTAAATTACATTTCCATTTTGCATACTTTAAGATATATGAAACATGATGAATAAAACTTGAACTTTTTTTATTTGTATGTCATTTAATTTAACCAATGATTTTAAATGATTGCCTTTTAATAAAAAATTACAGCTCAAAAACTTATAATAAAAAGTATGAAATTCACATGAAGTAATGCAAATTTTTGGCTATAGTTTGTTCAATGTCTATAGCATGTATTTATGTACATAATGTAGCAAGTAATATGCATGAAAGCATGGAGGTGAGTACTTAAACAAACACGAAAAGTCAAAGATATGACAGAAATATTTCTGTTTTATAGGTGGTTACAGAGATGAAGATGATGATAGACCAATGAGAGGAGGGTCTAGAAAACGGTATCAAGATGAAGTTAGGCGTGAAAGGAGGCCTCCAGCAGAATATGAATACTATGATGATGAAGAGGAAGAAGAAGAAAAATATGAAAGACAAAGACCAAGAAAACCTGAAAAAAGACCACGCACGACAACTAAGAAATATGAAAGAACTACAGAAGCACCAGAGGATGAATATGAGGAGTATGAAGATGAAGAAGATCTTAGGTCAAATAAAAAAGATGGAACTACACCTGCATCACACAGATTTTCAACCTCTTCCTATAAAAATGTAAAATCTACTACTTCAAGACCTTCAATAACATACAAGAGATCAAAACCAAATTCGGAATCTGATAGAAGGCACAGACCAATAACAAAAAGAGTTGAATCATCAACAGAAGAGACAACTACATTTAAAAGACCAATAGTCATGAAACCAACAATTTTTCCTGACAGAAAATTTACGTCCATTGTTGGAACTCCAACAGGATTCAGAAAGCAAGAAGAAAAAAACACTGCTGAAGTAATAACAGAAGCACCAAAAGAAGAAGAGAAAACAGAATCAACAAGGAAACCTCAAGATCAATACAGAAAGTTTTCCAATTTTAGACGGCAACAGGATGAAGAAAGAAAGGAGATTAGCAACTCAAGGTTTCCTTCAACCGCTAAGAGTGAAGAAAAAATACCAATGGCTAAAGAACAGGATACCAGTGCTCAAAAAACAGATGAGACATTTACTTCTAGAAATCCTATTCGAGGTGAAGATAACACAGCGACATACAGAAATCCATCTATCAGAACTCAAGAATTTACTAGTAGAAATGAGCCAAGCAGAAATGAAGAAATGAATACAACACCCAAAACATCACAGAGAGGAGAAGAACAAACCCAAACTTTTAGAAAACAACAGCTTAGAGGATATGACTCTAATGAACCAAGCAGAAATGAAGAAATGAATACAACACCCAGAACACTACAGAGAGGAGAAGAACAAACCCAAACTTTCAGAAAACAACAGCTTAGAGGATATGACACTAACGAGCCAAGCCGAAATGAAGAAATGAATACAACACCCAGAACACCACAGAGAGGAGAAGAACAAACCCAAACTTTCAGAAAACAACAGCTTAGAGGATATGACTCTATCCCAAGAAATGAAGGTAATACTAATCCTTCCAGAAATAATTATAGAGATGAAAGTGCACCTCCAACTAGAACTTTTCCCTCAAGAGTACAAGAAAATCATAGTGAACAAAACAATGATGAACGTACAAACAATGCATTCCGAACTCCAACTAGGAACGAAGAACAATCATTCAGAAACCCAACAGTACAACAAGAACAGAGAATAGAAACTCCAATGAACCACTACAGAAACCCCTATAGGCAAGAAGAGTATACTAATAATTACAGGAACCCCACTGCTACTGCGGATGAAGTTCAGTATCAAGCCCCTACCTTTAGAAATGAAGATACTTTAATAAATTACAGGGCACCTTCAGCAATAGCAAACTCAAATTACAGAAATCCACATACAAGCGCTGATGAAGGAGAATATAAGCCTACAGAAGAGCCAAATTATAAGATCTCTAGCTTCATCCCTAATGATGCTTACCAGAGGCAAGAAGTTAAGTGGCCACCAAAGGAAGAATCTTTCATCCCGATACAACCCACTGTACAACCACCTTTAGAAAACAAGCCTTTCGTCACAGGGCCAGGCTCCGACCAGACACAAGAAGGAAGTGGTAAGTCAGGCTACCCACCAGCTATAACAAGCCCCCCCAGAGGTTATAGACGCTATAACAAAATGAAAGTATCGATCCGCCCTAAGCCAGTTACTGAAGAAAATGTGGAATATAATAAATATCCCATTCCAGTTGAAGGACCAAAAGTTGAATTCACTGCACCAGGTCCTTCTGCACCACAAGCAACTCCAAGACCTTATTTGGATCTTGAAGAATATGATGTTACATTGAATGATGCTCTGCAACCTTCAACACCTTATTCTCGGCACAAATCAAGAGGTTACCAATCTTCTGTTACGAATCCATCTTATAGAACAGGTTATCTCTTGACATCAGCATCCCAGACCTATCCATCAAAGATTCCCAGTGAATATGAAGCTGTTATCGTTCCATCCCAAAGATTTTCAACGAAGCGAAGACCCCATGAATGGTATTGGTAAGAGTTTTAAATATGAGAAAATTTCAAAACAGGAAAATTCCACTATAGGCTTAAAAAAGCCTATTAAAATGAAATTTATTTAATTGTGACGCCATAATTGGTTGTGTTATTTTAGAAGTTTACTTGTATTTATGTAAAAAGAAATGACATCTTGGTCATGAAGTATTAATATTTCTGTACACAGGGAGAACTGTGTTATTAATAATTCAGAAAACAATCTAAACCATTACTGACCATTTTCGAAAAGAAAGTCGTAATGTTATGGATCACTGTGCATGTGATATGACTTAATTTGAGTGATCCAAAAAATAAGAAAATAAAAATTAAATCATGTGTATATATGTTATTTATATGTCACTGTAAAATTATTAAACAAACTAAGATCCATTGTAATATAGAAAATTAGTATAAATGTGAACTAATTATAGTTCAAGTAGACAGACGAGGATGGCTGATGAGGGAAAAACTTTGCTGAACTTTCCTGTACAAACTACAAATAAACGTATTTGTGGTTATAGGTTTAAATTGCACAGGAAAGTTCCAAATGAAAAAAAGAAAGTTTTCTTTCATGTAAGCAAAGACAATCATTGTTGATATGGTTGGATTTTTTTTATGTCTGTGAAATGTAAAAATAAAACTGGATTCTTGGTAATAGCATTTTATTTTAATTTCTCCTTATATCATTTATACAACGATAATATATTTTGTTTCTACAAAGTTCAAAATAAGACATCATTAGTTTTCAATGTTCAGGCAAGGGCTGCAGTCATTTGAGAATCCTAATGTAGCACGGATTATCATTACATTATGGAGAAAAGGATGGTTGAGGTGATCAGTCAGAAATAAAAAGGCAAAATAAATAAAAATATTTATTTTAACATTTGCTGACGTTTCGACCTGAAGTTCAGGCCTTCATCAGGGCTAAGAAAAGAACCAGATAACAAGGTATGAGAAACATAAACAATGTAGGTAAAAAAAAATTAAAGTAAAGTGAAGTGGGTAGAATAATGACAATAACAAGAAATAAATAATAAATAATAATAACCGTTACAGAGTGTGGAATAATGAAGTAAACATAATCAAAATAAGGTGACATATGTACTAAAATGGTAATCTTAGAATAAAATGTAAAACAGAAAAAAGGAATATGAAGTTATATAAGAAATAAAAATAAATAATAAAATTAAGATATTTTAAATAGAATAGTTAGATAGAAATTGAGATATTGTAAAGTCTATCAAGATGTACAGACTACGTATAATATAAGAAAGAGTTAAAAGAGAGAAAAGGAATGAAAGGAAGGAGAAAGGAAAGGTTATTATTACTTATTTATTAGTTCTTGTTATTGTCAGTATTCTACCCACTTCATTTTATTTTAATTTTTTTTTTTTTTACCTACATTGTTTATGTTTCTCATACCTTGTTATCTGGTTCTTTTCTTAGCCCTGATGAAGGTCTGAACTTCAGGTCGAAACGTCGGCAAATGTTAAAATAAATATTATTATTTATTTTGCCTTTTTATTTCTGACTGATCACCCTAACTATACTTCTCTTCATTATTCACCATCAACCATCAACCCATAATTATCATTACATTAGTCTTAGAAGATTATAAATAAAATTATAAACTTATAAATTTGAATAAATATCATTACTCATGTTCACTAAAAATAAACAAAATAATTACCTTACCTTCACAGATTTCGCTGATGCATGACCATGAAGCAAGAATGGATATAAAGCACCACAACACTAAAAATTAAAATAGCGCATATAAATTCAAACTCAGTAAACAATTTAATGTAAGAGAAAATAATCTTTGATAATGCTGGCCTTAGGGTGGGACAATTGGGGTAATTGTACCAGGGTGCCAACCTGAAGGAGTGCTGATCTTAAAGGGATGCTCGCTACTGGTTAGAAATTAAAAAAAAAATACAAAACATATTAAAATAATTAATTTTAGCCTATTAATAAAACAACTGTATTAGCAAAATATTAATAAAATAAAATTCAAATATTGCAAAATATAAAACTTTTTAAGAAATATACATGTATTTTTTTGGGAGGGGGGAAGATGACATTGTCCGTGGGTGCCGAACATCTAAGGCCAGCATTGAAGATATTTATATAAATATAAATATAAATCAAATATAAACGTCAATATTCAGACACAATATTAATAAGTATATTTGATTATGGATAAAACCTAGAGTTAATTGTTAGCCATTTATTAAAATTATGAATAAAATAACTTAAAACCAAGATAATATCACAATTTAGATATATTATTGTTTTTTTGATCATATATATAAATACTTAAAAACTTTATCTATACTGCAGAGTGAAATAATAATTAACAAGTAATATTTCCTTTAAATAATAGAAGTAGTTCTGTAAAAAATTTAAATTTACTAATAAGAACCATAAAAAGTGATAGTGCAGTTATTCTCATTTTTCAAAATATAAAGGAAATATGAACAAAGATACAACATGACATAAATAGCAGACAATATAACAGAAGAAGATTAAAGTCAAAGTGGTATAAGTAGATTAAATTTTATTTAATAAAAAAAAGAAATTAAAGTTTAACTTTTGCTTGATTTTAGATATCTGAAGATGACTAAAACTATTCCATAAGGCAATAAATACAACAATTTTTAAGTGTTGAAAAACAACAAAAATCAGCCAACTAATTTGTGAACCAGGGGCATAGAAACTTGGTTCATTTTTTCTTTTAACAGTTGAAGCTTTCTTTTAACATATGGTATTTCTGGACTTCAGTCAGATTGTTGAAAATGTGAAAACAGCAGTTTGACTTTAACCCCTTTGTATATGAGACAATATCATAATCAAATACTGAAATTATTACTACTAAATCATTTATATTAAAACATATTAAAAATATTTGTAATAATACAAATACTGTAAAATCTACCTACCAAGTTCAATGATCATACTATAACCCAAACATTTCAAAAGTTATTCAAACATTTTATCACTAAGGACAAGTTTCATTATAAAACTAATACTTACATACCTATATCAACAGAAACAGTGAAAAATTTAAGTAATTACACCATCTAATGAAAAATTTATTAAACCGCACACGAAATTAATTACACCCACGAGAACGATGGCGCGAAACTAGCAGAAGAAAAACGAACATTAGCATATCATATTTTTATGTAATACTATTAGAGTAATGATTCGATTTGGCTTTAAATGGCCCGAAATTTTAATGGCAAAATATATTATTAATACACTTATCTTTTAATATTTTGAAAAAAAAAATAGTAAATTTTGTTCACATATTATTAATAGAGTCACTACTAATACGATATTTTCACATAAGTTTTTTAATCAAAATAATTGTTAAGATATTCTAGAGTGAATTTTAAAAAAATTAAATGAACACCGGAAACAGTAATTACTAGTACATATACACGCGCAAGTTATTATTAGGTTTTAAGCAAGTGTTGTCAGTTTTTAAATGACTTTATTATTATTTACATTTTTAAATATTCTTTTATTATTTAATATGTACATACTCTTTAAACTTAAATTAAATAATGATGTATTCACCTTAAACGCACATTAAGTAAGCAGTGTCATTATCAATTTAGTTGGCGCTCAGCACGGATTTGAAATTTGTTCGTATAAAAATTCATAATGAGATAATATTTTATTATAATTTTTCTTTATATATAATTTAATAGTTCTTAGCCAAAACAGTAAGATGCGTTAAGATATTACACACAGTATGGAACAAACAAATCTATAAATGGTTATCTCACTATGCTAGTATTTTTGTTTCTTGTTTTTGATATTTTCCATCAGCTATCCGCATCAAGTTAAATAAAAAATAGATTGATTTAGCAATGATGTCATAGTTAGTTAAGTTAGATAATTGTGTATCCCATAGTTCATGAAATGTTTTAACACACCTTTACATATTTATGTAAATAAGTTAACGAAATCGAGTTTTAGCCATATACTGTGAAGATCTTTTGTTTATTATTTCAACAAAAATTAAAAGTAAAGGATATAAAACTATATTATAATATTTAAAAAATGAAAGTAATGAATACAAGACAACATATATAAAAAAACATTAAGGAGGATGTGAATATTGACACCAAAATAATATTTACACAAATGACAACGTTGGTTCTTTTTTTTTTTTTAAGTTTCGGAAATTCAAGTAAATAAAAAAAAATCCCTTAATTGTTCATATGCTAAACTGTAATACTACAGCTTTCTAGAAAAATAAATGAGTACATATTGTGTCATTTCGCAAAAAATAACTAAATAATTTGATTGATAAACAATTTGATCGCCAGGTAGAGGTGTAGATTTAATAGAATACTGATTAAGGTATATAAATACATCAACGCACCTTTATATATTATCAGGTATTAGTATATAATATGTTTGTTCCAATACGAATTTTGGCTTTCAGGAACTTCCACTATAAGCGCAATACGACTTAGGCCTGCAAAAACATCTTTGTCTTAGGACAAAATGAAATATTCTAAACAGAATAAAGGAAACATCTCAGATTTCATATGTGGGAACAAAATTTGCCCCACGACAAGATTCACCAATTAATCTCCTTTTCCAAAATAATTGTAATTATCCAGTTTTGTAGTGAAGCTGTCGATATATTAACTGCTAATGAATACTAAAACATGTGAAATTGATGAGTTATTCTTTGCATCTTAAATTTTGGGTTTAAAGGCAAAGCTTAACAGAAAAGCATTACTAAGTTATGGAAAAAATAAAAAATTGTTATTTATATATTCTCAAAATTTGAAAATATAAAAAAATATGTAGGACTTTCTATAAGTTTATAGTTCCTAAACAAATCTTGTCAATTATTTCTTTCTTTATTTTTTTAAATATTAAAGTCCATTGATAATGCGTGTTCTATTCAAGATGTGAGGTTCTATTCTGTACATGACATTTCTTCCAGTTTTATGTTTAAATGATGTCACTATTTCAACTAATTTCCATATAATGGAATATCCCTCTAAAAATAAAGTAATAGAAGGAATGTAAGTGAGTTAGCTTTGTATTTGCCATGAGTTTACTCTGCAGTGCCAACAGTCCGAGGGTGAGCTCAGAAGATAGCTCTGTAAATACAGACCAGACATTCTTTAAACCACAGAAGACAAAGGGAATAACTCACGTTTGTTTACTCTCAATGCAAATAACGCCTTCCTTTCTCTCTGGTCTCAGTGCTGACAAGGCAATTAAGGAGCAAACATACGGTAAGTATCTGCCAACGTATACTCCTGTCTCTAAAATCCATCAAGAAAACAATGTAATTTATTTGCCTCAACAAAAAAGATTCAAAGTGATTATTATTAATTTTCCTATCAATGTTAAGAAAATAATAATGATGGTGAAGAGGTCTTAAAGCTCTCTGCATCTTCGTAAAGTTAGACAAGAAAACGTTCTAGCATTTACACTTATCTAATCATTATTCTCTTTGTTTCAAATAGTCCCTCTCATTCCAAGATATCTTTACCAAAGATATATTTTTTGCTTTTTATTTTAGAGAGTATGAAATAATGAAAGTAAAATGATAAGGTAAGAAACAAATTCCTTTTGTTGAAAATATTTATTATTAGAAGATATTTTTTTCCTACCCTTGATAATTTAAAACAGAATTGCAAGAAATATAAGATTATTAACATTTTTGCTATCTTGTTTTTGGAATCAAGACAGAAGTGCGACAAAAGTAAACTTCGAACGATTCCCTTCTTCGATTTTACGGATTTATTTCGTGGTGTTCGTTGGATATGAACTTTTATGCAATTCAGAGGAGTTGCTGGCCTATTTTATCATATAAGTCGAAAATGACAAAGACATGGATAAGATTGCAGAACCAATAGATGAAATTGAAGTTATTGTTGTTTTTATGCTTTTACATCAACATAACAACTAAAGTCAATTTATCGACGTCTTGTCCTCCCTATAGAAACGGAAAAGCTACTAATCCACTTTCATCTTCATCCATCCACACATATACACATAACCATCCATATTTACAAACAAATATGGAACTTCGTATCAAGAAAGAAAAAGGTTTGTATGTGTGTGGTTCCTTGATTAACTGATAATACTAATGATAATTTATTTAACAATTTTTTTTCTATATTCAATTTTAATATTTCCCTTCAATCATTTTCTCTGCCACACATTATTTCCCTATGTTTAAAAAAATGACGATATTTAGAGAGAGAAAAAACGACAACCTCAAAATTGTAAAAAATTAAATATGAGTAAGTTGATAAAAAATCACCATCGTTATTAATAATTTCATATTGCCTATAGACTTAAAGGTATTTTAATGTAGAAATTGGCTCTGTTAAATGAATATAGATATTTTTTTATCTAAATTTACGTATAAAATATATTTAAAAAAGATATTCTTGTTTTAGATGAAACTGGTTTTGCTGCCAGTACTATTGTTTTTTCACCCGTCTGTTGGAATAAAATTTAAAGAAGATGTCACAACAAAAAGTCTTTCAAGACTCATCTCGAACGTATTTCTGGATATGCCGAAATGCGTAGTTGTTGTACTGTCAGATTTTTCTTCATTCGAATTGCCAAACAATTTTGTATATTTGAGAGTGCATTTCAATTCATCCAATCTTTTTTTGTCATTGAGAGCTGCGTATCAAATGAAGTGCATTGGGTATGTTTTCATCAGCTTTGCCCAACATAGTAATCTATTTTTAACTTTCGTCTTAATTTTTTTTTTATCATGACTTAATTCTTTAATTCTAAAATGGTTTTACAGCTTCAAGTAAAATTAATTTTTAGAAGATTTATAACTTTTGAGATAATCAGGTCTTTCAGCTTTTTAAATAATCGGGTTTTTTGTTAAGTTAATTACTCAACATTTGACATATATTTACAAGCCTATATTAATGATCATTCATTTAACGATATTTTTGTTTTCTATACTAAATACTTTTTATTTTTCTTCACTTCGCAAAAAATAATATTATATAAATTATGTCACATTTACTATAATACTGGTACACGTGTATACAATGTTACATAAAGCACTGGGACGTGACTTATTTTTACTGGTACAGGTACTTGATTGATGAAAACAGTGCAAATGACTTTTTGAAAACGTTAGGAGAAGCAAGATCATCAGCACCAGAGAGGCATACACCAAGAATAGTTGTTGTGCCCAATCGCAAAGGGAACTATTCTCTAAATGTATTTATGCATCCAGAATCTGCATATATACCTGATATGATCGTTATTCAAATTGTAGGTAAGAAATTACAAAAAATTTAAAACTGATAATTGTGTTTATATTTTTTAAATAAATAAAATAACCACGCTCATTGTTTTGCTAGGCAACTTTGTTTTGTTTCTTGAAATTCACAACTATATTCATTCAGCACAACGATTAAATGAAAAGTAATATAGTACAAAAATCATGATATAACTTGTTAAGGAACAGCCCATTGATAATATTCCAATAACTATCCAAATTTAAAAGCTCCCGTTTCCGTATTCTTTTAAGACACCTTAGAGGTTTGTCAGAAATAGATCGAACTGAAAGGTTACAAAGCAGAGGTACCCAGAAGGGGATTTTATGGCGCAAGGTGCGCCATCAAAATTTTTGAGGGGGCATATTTTGAATTTTTTATGGAGATGAATTTCGATGGGGTTATGAAATTTCGGACTAAGGAACAAGGGGAAAACTTGGAACAGACCACAGCAAGTGTAATTGTATGTAATCCACGATCTTTCTTATTTTACCTTAGATTGCTCTGTTTTAAAGAAAAGGTGGACAATAAAATATCTTGAGAGGAGGGGAGGTTTTTGCGCCACGGACCTTTCACCCCTGTTACGAAGTAAGTAGGTAGTGTGAAAACTCTTCAGTGTTGTTAAGGAGTTTTCAATTAAAGGATAAATATCCATTTCGGGCCAAATCTGCAAAACATGGAATATTGATGTGTTTATTATTAGTTTTTTTTAGTAACGTAAGGTTTCTTGGAATTATAATAAGCATTTCGGATTGTAAGAATTCGATGCAGAAGGAGTATATGGAGCTTTAAAACCTCATCATATGTACAAATAAAGTAATGTTAGTTTAGATGAACTTCTTGAAGAAAATTAGAATTTTGAGTTTCTTGTGAGGATTCCAGGTAAGACGCACGTCTAGATGAAATCTGAAAAAACGTGAAGATGTGAAGTTGATTCATATGATATGTTTGGATTTATTTTAGTTCTATTTTTTTTACACTATTGAATATAAATTGAATGAACTTGTTATTGAATATGTAATTGAGCAGTTTAAATTTTACCCAAAATACCAAATTGAAATGTTTAACAAATCGTTCATGAGTATTACAACATAATATATTATTGTTGAAATGAATTAAATCCATGGAACACTGTATTATTATTATGTATTGTATTAAGACAATCTTAACACAAATTTATAAATTTTAAATGATATTTTTTTCTAAATATTATAAATTATCTGTCAATAATTTTCCTCGAATTTCAATTTGAGTGATGAATATCGTACAAAACAAAAGTATATATACAATGTTCCAATATTATAATAGCTTAATACACTTAATTTTTGTCATATTATAATCAGAAAGTATTAATGATTCCAAGTAGTTATTAAGTTTTTCAAGTGGAAAATCAATGTTGAGCGAATTTCCACGAATGATCCCTCCAAACAAATACTGACCAAGATCTATTATTTGTTTGGATGAAAACGAAGATAAACTGGATTGCTTTATCGATTTTCTGATCAATATCAATACCCATTATAGTGGATTTGTTCTCACGTGACTTATATTTATTTATTTATAGATATCTTTAATTTATTAAATCTAAATTTATGTCTTTTCATTTTATGTTTTATGTATAAAATGAGAATTCAATGAGTTTTATATAATTTAAACCAAAGTACGTATTATATAATATCACTTTGCTTGACTTTATTGAAAAGCTATTAAAATAAATGAAAGGAACATCATAAAAACAAAGAAACTTCAGAGCACCCAAAGAATAAGACAGAACTATAGTCTTAGCCCCTTATTCTTACAGATCGATTTCTTGGTAGGGAAAGAGAATTTGAAGGAATATGGATTTTTGGTATGACAGAGGCACAAAAAATTGTTTCTTCAAACCATCCATGTTCCATCACTGTTAACTCCTAGCAATTATGGAGGAACTATTCACCTAGGTACCTACTTTATTTTATATATGTGGGGAGGATCCAATCCTCTTACCAATCATTCTATTCAACCATAGTCAAAATTTTGTTGGTCCTGTGACAGGTGCTCATACACGAAATATAGAGAGAATCTGATAAAAAGTGAAACAAAATTTCAAGACTGGGGAGAAAGTATGAGCACTTTGAAGGCTACATATCAGAATTTATTTGGGAGGCCCAATTTAGCATAAATACCAGTCTGCTTAATTTTTTTATGTGAGGTTGTGATCTAGTTTGATCCCAATAATAATCGACAGGTAAGATTTTCAGTATTATCTTTCTTGTTATAAATAAAAAAGTACTTAGTAATGGTGGTGAAGAGAGGTCAGATGAGATTGGGTTCTTTTAGGCTGGGCCACAGAAAACTGGGACTAGTTTATGACACCTTCCTGGAATAAGCAGACAATATTTCAGTATTCATGAACAATGAAAGATACTTTCAATGCAAACTCCAAAACCTGCAGTAAATAAACAGCAACAAAACAAAATTAATTAAGTTAGAGAGAGAGGGGACCGAGTATTTTTATTGAAGTGAGAAAAACTGGAGCACATAAGAGATTACAATTATTGAGGAGCCTATCTAAATGAAAATGACTGGATAGATGGTGAAATTAGGTAGAAAGCAAGACTGATCAACATGTTTACATTCACTGCAGATTTCTTAGGAAAGAGAGGAGTAATCGAAAAGGTGAAGAAAACTACGTTTAAAAATTCATGCATCCTCATACAGGAGCTATGCGTGTAAATCCTGAACTATTACCAGAAGCACAGAGGAGAAAGAGAGACAAAATTAGAAACACAATAATAAGAAGCAATATGGGAGTAAAACCAGCCCAAAACGTAATAAACAAAATAGTGTATGTTGCTATGGTCATGTCAAAAGAATGCAGGAGGAAATATTACCCGAAATCATGTAGAAAGCAAAAGTGGAAGGAAGAAAGAGGCTTAAAAACAAATGAGTAAGCATAGTCAGAGAGCCTTTTAGTAGAAGAGAATTCCTATACTATTTTATCTCTTATCCAATAGCCTTTAGAGGAATAGATGTAGTGAGCTGGTGCAAGACTATGTTTCATGGATCATGCTCTATAAAATGGATCCTCAATACCGAATAATGGTATAGAAAACTATTAAGAAGAAGCATTTTAAATACTTTTTATTTACAATACTTTTAGTATTTTATAAATTAAAATACAAATTCATATTTTAGATACAAAAACATACCAGACTCAAACGACAAGAAACCGCTAGACTTTTCCAATTACTTTAGCACTTACTAGACAAACGCTCTATACTTCCAATTAATTACTCATATACATGACTATAATAAGGTCTATTTGGACTTACGGAGTTCAGCTATGGGGCTCCACTAAACCAGCGAATTCCTCTTGTATCCAATCCAAAATCCTTCATCAAATCCTTAATGCTCCCTACTTTGTTACAAATAAAACCATCCATAATGACCTTAATGTTTCTTATGTTTCAGATTTGGCCCAATTCAGATACCTATCCTTCCATAATAAACTTCAGAATCATCCCAACCCTCTCAGTTCTAACCTTGCTTCCTCTTCAATTCCTGATAATCCTCCGAGGCGTCTGAAAAGAAGATGCCCCCGTAATCTCCTAATGTAGACATATCATTAGAGTGCTACGATTGGGTAGTTCCTCAACAAGTGTTTTCATGTCATTATGTCCATATGTTAAAATTTACTAAATGTATTTCTTTTATACAGTTGTAAATATCATTAAGAAATAAAAATACTCCTATTATAATATTCTAAATTGTAGAGTGTAACTAAAGGAACACAATTCGGTGATATACTGATTTTATGTACTTATTTAAAATATAAACTACAATTCATTTTTTATATTTATACAGAAATTTCAATTACCAACCATGTATTTTATTTTTTAAAATGTAAAACATATAAAATGTTCTATGTAAAAATACATGTTTTATTTTGTATTTTTATATATTTCATTTGAAATTCTGCTCAGGTCTGCTGAGAATCTGAGGCATACCATTGGTAGTGTGGTAGGCACAGAATTGTACATTAAAAAATTTATTTTTTTTTAAATTAAAATAATTTTAATATATATTCATAGTTTTAGAAAACTACTGTCAAATAGGTTGTCCAAATATCAGAATAGCTAAACTTTTTATGCCATATTCATGAAAGGTGATGAAAGTATATAATATCTATATTATTGTATACCCAAAATGTCTGATACAACTGTATACCGGCTACATCTCAAAAAGTGTATTTTAGTCAGCATTTCCACCTTCTTTTTTTTTTCAATTTTCCTTTTGGTAAGTCAGATTTTCTTTTTTTTTTGCCTTAGAAAAACTTTAAAATCTCTTGCACCCTAATATGTACAAAATAATACGTAATATTATATGTAACTACTCCTTTTATTTCTGCTTTACTTATATTATTAAAAAATATATTAAACTGTGCTCAAATTAGACTTTGATTTGATAAAAATTGTTTTCATCTTTTTCTCCTCCCAACCTTAAAATTTCCCTAAAAGGGAACTTTTTACCAAAGTGGAGACCCTGACTAAAAAGTTTACAAAGATTTCAATGGAAATCAATCAAAATCTTATTTAGGGTAAAATGGTTAAGGCCCAGAAGCTGGAAATAAAATAAAATAAAACGTTTGAACAAGAAAGAAAATTTTTAGGTAAGATAAATTTCTATAAGTTAGTTTTTCATACCATAAAATGTTTGGATTTTTTTTTGTTTTTTTAAAAATAAAAGTTGTAAAAATATAACAGTATAGGAATTAACAAGTCTTCTTGAACAACGATTTCTGTAGTTCATTTTAAATCATTATTAGTGAAGTTTTAAATAATTTTAAATCTTCTAGAGTGGAATAACAGTAACTTTAGGCTGGAGGCAAAATAAAAAAAAATATGAACAAATCATTTAAAGGTATTTTTAGTGAAGATTTATCAAAATTGCAGTATTTACTACAACAAAGTGTAATTTTGTTACAATTACCTTGGAAATATAATTCATTGCATCAATAATTGTTGATTAAGCAATGAAAAATGGTTTAAATTGCTGAAACATAGTGGAATAAAATATAAACAATAAGAAGTACTTAATGAACCCAGACGTTTTTAGTAAAGAAAAGTCTTAAGTGTTTATAGTTCTGTTGATTTATTAGGCATACAATTATATTTGAAATGGTTAAGTAAATAATTAATAAAGTAAAGCATGTAAATCCATTGAACTATTAATAATTTTATTTAATTAAATAGAAGAACTTGTAAACACTATTTCAATTGACAGCAGATGGCAATAGTGCAGCTGAAGTTAAACTAGTAGTGATGACTAACAGTTTTCATAATTCTTCAATTTTTCCTGAAGGAGAAGTTCTTGGGACTTGGCCTCTTGATGAAATGTCCTTTTTCCCTGACAAATTGAAAAATCTTAATGGTAAAGGTAAGTTAAAAATAATAGTAATTGTTTATTCATATCAAATTATAAATTGTTTGTTTAAGTGTACAAATTTATTAAGCAGAGTTAATCATAGCAACACTCCATTACCCTCCGTATGTTCTTCTTCATCCTAAATTTGATGGAATGGAAGTAAGAATGATCAATGAATTTTGCCGACTTTATAATTGTAAGCCATCAACTCTAACTGATGATCATTTATGGGGTGAAATATTCACAAATGGGACAGGAACTGGTAAGTTACTTTATAAAATGTGTTAAAACCTAGTAGCCTGTCTTGGAATCAACCACACCTTTTCCTTTTTACCTGCATGTAGTGTAACTAATTTTAATCGGTTTATTCTATTATATTTTAGCAACTTATCATTTCTTATATAATAATTTATTGACAACTGAACTTAAATGAATGTTTGTGAAATGGTGGCATACAGGCTGGTCAGCAAAGTTAAAAGTTTATTATTTAGTCAGCTGATTGCATTTTCACCATTATCATATTTTGCAAATAGAGTCATTTAAGTTAAATAATGCAATTAATCAATAGTACATTAAAGCAATGTATATAATCTTAAATGTTTTTAAATGATTATTCATTGAATGTCAAATTACTATAAATTTCAGGAGTATCCGGCAACGTGTTTATGGATCGTGCTGACATTGGTATAGGTGCATTATATTTATGGGAAAATGAGTATAAATATATTGATTTTGCTTATCCGTATTTAAATACGAAAATAACAGTATTAGTACCGAAACCAGCACAGAAAGCTGAATGGAGGATACCATTCCTACCATTTTCTTTGACATTATGGGTTCTTCAAGTTTTATCGATTACATTAGCTGCTGCTGTAATGTTTGCTGTTAATAAAGTTTCATTTCACATAGCTGAGGGTAAGTTATTAACAACAAAATTTTTCCCCTAATGTCTTTTGTAAATGTACTCTCCAACTTTCTATCTCCTTACTTGTTTTTCCTCAATTCGACTTTAAAATAAATGGATTGCCTTCAAATTTAAATTAGAGGTAACAGAAAATATTAATATTCTTCTACAGTTCTATATGTATGTCCGTTGAGCAAAAGCTTAAAGGCTACATTTTTTACTTTTGTAGCATTCAGTCAATCTTCATCATACCGAGAAAGGGTTTCACTGCGAGGCCATCACAAACTACACATAAAAATCAGTGTTAATAAGCTATTATAATGATTGAAGTGTTGATTAATAGCTATTAATTAATTATTATTAAATTATAAGTTACAAATAACAAAATAATTTAAAAAATTAAATCTTGGGGCCTTATCAGCTGAAAAGTGATGAAGCTATTAATGTGCAAATGAATAGCTAGTATAAATCAAGTATAGAAGTTTTCATTTATGTCCTGTTTATATCATTGACCTTAGCCAAAGATATAAGCTACAGATAATTTCTTTAGTGTATTTATTGCTTTTATCTATTTCTATTATAAGGTGATGCCCAATTATCAGGTTATTGGTATTTCTCTTTCATAATTACTTAATTTATACTTAATTTTTTTAAATAACTTCTACCCTCAAAAGATATTGATTGACCTAATACTATTTATTTCAGGATTGATGCTAGGAGGTGAATTTTCCACTGGAGGAGGAATTTTCTTGCGATCCCTTGCAATGGCATTACTGCAGCCACCACCAAGTCGTTTGCCGTCAGGTTCCCCTCTACGAAGATTTTTCACAATTTTTGAAGTTCTATTTCTCTTTTTTACTACAGTTTACTCGGGAGCTTTGTCTTCTGTGCTCACTGTTCCTCTGTAATTTTATATTTATATTTTATATTATATTTTTATTTTTTATCGGAAAAAAGGCATAAATTATTATTTTATTTATTTAATGATTATTAGCTAATATAACTACCCAAAGTTTATTCATAAAGTAAAAAATAAAAAACATTCAACAATCTAATTCCTTAATGCAAAAACAATGTACTATATTAACGTATTGAGTCCTGCTGTAAACATAATTCTAAATCTTAGATTTAAAAATCTAGTTCTTGATTTACAAAATTTTCATGGCTGTTTGACAATTAGTTGGTTAGATAAGGCCCTTCAGTCTATACTGAATTATCTAACCTTACTTCTTACAATTACTTCTTCTGCTGCATCACGGATAGTTTTTCAATGTTTAAACACATTTCTTCGACACCTTCATCTTTTGTAGATGGCACATTAGAGAACTTTTCATTAATTTTATTTACACATACTTCGGAGACTTTGGGTTCTTTAAGCTTTTGTCGATTGACATTCTTACATCTTTGTCCTTGCCTTGTTTTCTCAATTGAGATCCTAGCTCTAACTTTAGCCAGAGTTAGAAAATGGTCTGAGTCCATCTTAGCTTCACGAAAAGTTCTGACATCAGGAAGGTTTGATTTGTGTTTAGCACTTACTAGAAAGTGGTCAATCTGGTTAACTGTATTTTCATAGGGGAAGTACCAAGAGGGTACCAAGATGGATTCTTTTTTGGGGAAATAGACTGTTAATCACCTGTGACTATTAATAAGTCTGAACGAGGACACTCCTTAATAGATCTTTCCAACAAGTCGTAGTACTCATCCTTGGTTTACTCATCTGATATTTCAGTCGGAGCATGGCAACTGAACAATGTATAATTAAAGAATTTCTCATTTATTCTGATAGAGCTCATTCGGGGGCTTACAGGCCTGAAATCAATGATGAATTGCCTGAGTTTCTTCCTTACAACAAATCCAGTTCCAAAGTGGTGTGATTTATTGTCACAACTGTAGTATATAGTGTGACTTTTCTTTTCGATAGACTCCTTTCCAATTCCGTTCCAATTGTCAATTCCGTTCCAATGGATGGACAAATGGATTCCGTTCCAATTGTCAATTCCGCAGCGGTCTATTTCATCTAAGATCAGTTTAGTTGCTCCGGGTCTAAACAGTGTTAAAATGTTCTACGATCCAAAGATGAAGTCCAAATGACGGGTCTGTTCCAATGGATGGACAAATGGATTCCGTTCCAATTGTCAATTCCGTAGCGGTCTATTTCATCTAAGATCAGTTTAGTTGCTCCGGGTCTAAACAGTGTTAAAATGTTCTAGGATCCAAAGGTGAAGTCCAAATGACGGGTGCTATGCTGTTTCCTTGTTAACAGTCTGGCCTCTAGATGTTGAGGTTTCCTGATAAGATGGTTTAAGAGGAGCCGGTTATCAACCATCTGTCCCCGAGTCAGGTGGAGGGGCTGCCTCCTCGGAGTATTCTGACACATTTTCCCACCCTATAGGGGCGGCTACCTAGGAAAGGTGGCCCTAGGGTGAGCACTGTTATTGACCTTTGTTTGTAATGTTGGGGTGGTTGTAGTGGGCTGTTAATCGTGTAAATATGTGCTTGTCAGTATACTGTTCCCCATAACCTGGAGGACAAGTGGCTACCTGCAGTGCAATGACCGGGCGATGGGGCCACCAATTGCCTAGGCCTTCATCTTCGACGTCCAGTCTTTATTAAATAAATATCAAGGCCATTGTATAGATGTTGGATATCATAAGCTCAGTGTTTTTCCTTGCTCTCCATATACCGTTGATGCAAATAGGCCCCATAATCCTTCTCAAAATTTTTCTTTCGAATCTCAATAGATATGATTCTAGTGCTTTCATCATCATCTAGCTCTCAGATAAATAGTTTAGGATGAGCTGATTAGGGTCTTATAGGTACGAAGCTTGATGGTCCTAGAGAGAGATTTTCTTTTTAAATGTCTCTGTAGCCCATATTAGCATCTATTAGCTGCAATAATATGCTGCTGAATCTCTGGACGCATATTATTGGTTGACTTCAACAGTGTTCCAAAGTAGATAAATTCCTGGACAAATTCAAAGTTGACGTCTCTAATTTTTACCATCCTACTATTCCTATCCTCCTAGATATTCTCCTGTTTTAGGATTGCAGAGCATAGAGTTTATTTTGGACTTGTTCACCTGCAATCTAAATTTATCGATTGCTTTTTGCTTAAAAACTACGTCCTGTGACATCCAAATCATCAGCATAGGCTAGAATTTGTCTGAATTTGCTATTTTTGTCTAGTAAATTAATAAATAAAAGATTTGAAAAAAAATAAAAATACTTTTTTTTAAATATAGGCCTTGGAATAGAACTTGTATAATTATATATAGATTTCAAATTCATTTATTAAATTAAGTGTTTTATGTAATTACTGCTATTATTTTTCAATTTTTACTTTTTTTTATTCAAAGTTCAATTTTGTTAAATTCATTTGTCTTTGAATGAATAAAGAATATTATTGTATGAAGATGTATGCTTACATTTTCTTTGACAGATACTATCCTCCTATTGACACACCACTACAGCTTTATGAAGCTGGAATCCCATGGGCAGCTGATCATTCTGCTTGGATATTTTCAATTCAGGGTGCAACAGAACTTCCTTTCAAAGGTCTTGTTAAAAGATATGAAGTTCATTCGCATGAAAGCTTGATTTCACTAATAAAGAAAGGTGGTTATGGATTCGGCATTGAAATAATGCCTGCAGGTAACTTAAAATGATTTACTCAAATTTTTTTGAGAAAACAGTGATTAAATTTACTAGATCAATGAAAAAAAAAAGGTATTTTCAGTTGGTATAATACGGCCACTGAACTGCTGCAGTTGCAGTACCCATACCCAAGCAACAAATCTCTGTAATCCCGATTTGTGAAATAATTCCGCATAATGGGAGGCTTTGCATTATCAGACTTCCCTTTTATCATAGACCTTAGTAAATTTAATCACAGTTTTTTTTCTTTATGTATAGGTCATTTGGAACTTTACAGAAATAAAAAATATCGTTGAAACAGGACAATTTAGTGCAAAGACATGGTGTTCTAAATATATTCTAAATAAATATGATTACAGTGAGATAAATTTCATTGTATTTACTAGATTGCTATCTACAAGATCTCCGGATATTTCTTTGACAGTTTTGAAATGATATTCTAAAAACAATTGCACCATTAATCGTTTTTTCTGCTCCCAGTTTCTTTCTTTTACTCCATAGTGCTTTTTTTTTTTTTTTTCAAAAATATGACTACCATTGATTGATGGTACCATGTCCTTGTTACTAGTTCCATAGAAAATTCCTTTGCTTTATGTAACATCACAATTTTAATATTTTCTGACAAGAACAGTTTTTTTAAACTGGTCATAATTACAGCTTTTGTCCTGGAGTTAATTAAATCTGAACTGAGAAACATTCTTAAATTTTTCTTGTAACCTAACTAAGTAAAGAAAAACAATCAATGAAATCAACGTTATCAACATAATAATCAAAAGAATGCAATTTCTATGACTGTGATTGTACATCTCATACCAACAATCCGAATAAGATTCATTTATTAAAAACATCCCATCATAGCAAGAAAACCAATCATATACTAGTGCCAATAAACCACAGACAATATTTTTTGTGATTTTATTTTATTAATACATAATTACTACTTATATAAGCTTAATACATTTGAATTAATAACCCCAACTATCATATGATTTCTTACATCTTATTCCTTTGTAGGTCACATTACCCAAACTAAATATTTAAATGGTGAAGCAATTCTTAACCGTCATGTAATGAAACATGAATTATATACCACTTCTCTTGTTATGAGTCTCAGGAAAGGTAAGACATTATATTCCAGTAATACTATTCTCTCTATTTTAGTATATGTTTAATAAATTAATTTTAAATGGTTTATTATTTTTTAAGATGTGTTTCAAAAACTCTGCTTATTTTGTTACTGCCGTTGTAATTTGTAATTGAATATAGAATACCATTTTACATTTTTATTTGAACTATTTTTCTTCTCTTTTTTTGTCTTAATGAATAATATCAATTTCATATCTATTAAATATTGTTCCATTGTGGTGATAATTAAATATAAATAGGAAATTAATGCTGATTGACAGTATTTTTAAAATCAGTATATTGTAAAACTATTATTTTTTTATTGTTAAATAATTTAAAAACTTGTGAGGTTTATTTACCATATCAAATATATTAATTATTAAATTATTCTTACTCTTTCAAAATTATCTAAAAGAAAATTAAATGGTAACTAAAGATGTTTTGGTGGTTTTTTAATTAAGGCTCACCTTACACAGAGAAGTTGAACAATTTAATTGGAAAACAACTTGATGCTGGACTTCTTTTACTTTGGGAAACAGATGTTACTCTTAACTATCTTAGCAGCAGACTTCAGACAGCGTTGAAAATAAGTGAAGGGACGAAGGTTGAGGTTCATCATCCTACTAAATTAAAATTAACTCACATTCAAGGAGCCTTCATTTTGCTTGGATTTGGCCTCTTTGTGTCATTTATTGTATTTTTGTTTGAAAAACTAGGGAAAACTCCCTCATCATTAAAAATCTCTGCTTAGTAGCAAACACCTTAAAAAATTCTATGAATCAATTTTACATAACTATTGTAGAAATAATAGAACTGTAAAGTTATATACAAGTTAATAATGTAGAATTTATACACCAAAGAATAAGATAAAAATTTACAATAAAATGAATATAAGCACATAAAATAAATACAATTAAATATCAACCCTTTTTTATTTTATCTTCCTTCTGCGCTCTGTGCATATGGAGTATCCCAGCACCCTTCCTTTATCAACCAATCCTTCAGCTTGAACACTCAGTACACTCACCGAAAACAAGATACCGTGTCTCTGACCTCTGTATTCTCTCCTATAGAATTAAACCTACGAACGTTTTCTCTTAGCCCTCTCCGTTACTGTAGTATAAGACTGTAACCTCTATTTATATTCAATTATAATATAATCAATTACATATGTTAATTAGATAAAGATAAGACAGATGGTGTATTTTGTAATAAATAATAAAGCACACCTACGTTTGTTCTAAAAGTATTTTTATTAATTAGTCATACATAGTATATGGTGTGAGGTGAAATACCTACTAATTAAAAATGAATAATTCTAATTTGCGGCTACAATCTCTTCAATTTGACAAGAGCATTGCAATGAAGTGGCCAAAATGGAAACAGGCCTTCATTCTCTATTTAAAGGCTAAAGAAAAGTATGAATCAACAGACGAGGAATTGAAAATAGCTCTTCTATTAACACAAATGGGTGAGGAAGCTGTTTTAAAATTATTTGATGAGTATTGTATTCCTAAAGTAAATTTGGCTATGGAGTCCTTTAAATTCAATAAGATAAAACATTCTCCAGGACAAACATTTGATAATTATTTAACTGAGCTAAAAAGTCAAGCACTCAACTGCAATTTCGTGTGCTCTAAAGCCGATTGTAAAACTTCATTCGCAGACAGGATGCTAATTGACCATATAGTGCGTCATCATAATGACCCAGAAGTACAAAAAGTATTGATTAAGGAGACCAAAACGCTAACATTGCAGGAGGTGATGCAAATTTGTCGAGCAGCAGAAATAAGTCAATCTTATAGCAAGAAAATGGTTGGAGAAGGCATGCTAGGTGATGTTAATGTTAACTATACCAATATGGTTAATAAAAACAAACCTTTTACACCCAAACGTACTAAGACTGATAAAGAGACTGAATATAAATGTAAAAAATGCCGTACCACTCACAGACCTAGAGATTGCCCAGCATTTGGTAAAAAATGTTTTTTATGTGGGAGGTTAGGGGTGGTTATCTCTTTCTTTTAATTGTTCAACATTAATTTATCAAACCATTTTTACCAACTTCCAATAAAGGTGTATATTACAATATATTTACTTGAAGTATACAATAAGGTGGAGTCAAATCCACATCACTTTTATTTATTTCTGAAAGGGATTTATTTAATATTGATTTATTTAGGCTTTTATTAAGTTGAATATAAAACTTTTTGTTGTATGTTTTATTGAAGAACAGTGCATGATTTACAGTATTAAATAATCAAGATTAGTTCTCACTTGTAATTATTTTGTAAATTTGTTTACTTCTTATGCTACATCTTTTAATTTTTTTCATTTTCCTATAACTGATTGTTCGAAAGGTCATTTATCAGATATTGAATAAGTTCCATCAGACTCTGTCTCTTGTAAAAAAGTAGAACAAACCTTGTATTCTGCACACTATATTATATTGTAATTTAAACAATTTTGTTCCCTTCTTAACCACACTTTTATGATATGTTTCATTCAGTAATAAATCAAATGAATAAGAGTATCTTATTAATGGTTTTATAAGTTGGTCTCTATGCAGTTTGGCCTCTATGCAGAATAAATCACCTTTAAATTTGGAGTCAGATAATGATAAAATTGTAGCTGCTGGCTGATAACTTTAGCCATTTGGCCAGGATTTTGTTCAGGTTTTCAAATTGTTAAGGGTATTCACTTTGTAGAGGTTGAGTTTGATCCTCAGCTGATTTAACAGAATAAATAATTATGTGCCTCAGCCAGAAATGTTAGACTCAAAATATTAGAAGAAAATTGTAAATTAGATAAATAACTAGGAAAGGTTGTAATAAACCTTAAACACTACAAATAAGTAACAAAGAGGGGTCCTTTTTTTAAAATATATCCAGCAAATTATTAGAAGAATCGTAACCTTTAAGCATTAGTTTTTACTAAAATCAAGAGAAATTTCGGTACTTTTGAGCGGCCTCTATGGACTTGCTATCTGCAGTTATCTTGTTATTTAAAGTGTTGTTGTTGTTATATATTTCTTATTATTAAATTACTATATTATTATTAAATTTATATTTCTTATTAATATATATATATGTATGTACTTTTTCTTTATAATAGCTCATGTACTTCAGCTACTAAATGTAAGCACTGCTAAAAAAAAAAAAAATAAATAAAACAACATACCTTAAAACATTGTTCTTTCCATGTAATTACCCTTAATAGAAAAAAAAAAGTTAAAATGAAAAAGAAAGAAGTTTGCTCTCCTAAATTAAATCATAGATCTGCTAATGGCTTCTAGAAAATCTATAAAACAAATAATGAAATAAAATTCGTCACCATTAAATCAGAATGTTGTTTTTTAAATTAATAATTACATCATAATTAATAATTACTCTGCCTTTCAAATACGTTATGCAGTTTGGATAGTCATCCTTGTAGTCAGTCCTCATCGGATATATGTCACATCAAACAGTTCGTCCATATCTGACAACCCTTGTTTATTGTTTACATGTCATCGTCGAAATGTTAAAGAGAATAGTGTTCATCAGCAAACATCGCTTCTGTTCTAAAGGCGCTAAAAAAAAATTCACTTGGCAGCTACTTTTATCATTCTAACGTTACGATCCAGACTGAGAACGAATCGAATCAGTAAAGGGTGTATATATTTTCTTTACAATAGAACAGGATATCATAGATTAGTTAGCATAATGGTATGTTGATCATAGGCTCCTTAAATTTAATTAACCAAAGTTTAAGAAACCTTTAGAATTTTATCAAATTAATTTCAGTAATACTGTATTTTAATTAACGTAATGATGAATAGATTGACGATTAAAAGCACTGATAAAAAAAAACAAATTAAATAAACGTGTGTTCTTTGACGGGCGAATGAATGTGTTAATTTATAATTAAATAACATTCGTTTGACTGTCCACTTAATAGTTAAAACTGATATTGTAAATTTTGAATAACACTTGCTTTTATTAGATACAAAAGTATATAATTCTTATATATATGATTTCGTTTCCCTATTTTGCTAAGAACATGCTTACATGAGTTCAGGCATATCCATTGAACTACTGTTATTGACTTCTCTTATGAGAAACACTGTTTCGCTTTGTTGGACTCTAAACAACAAACTTGTTAAAAATTCCCTCCTTTAGTATTTGATAAACATAATCATTAATCCTAATCGTCATAAGAATTAAAATAATATAATATAAGCTCTTCCTCATTTATATTTTTACCTTTATAGATAGTTTACGCACGGCTAAGCTGTCTACGAATTCCTCTGTTAAACATGAGGCCTGTGTTACTGTAGAAATAACGTTGATTCATTCAAATTATTTTTAATCTTATTTTGGTTATTATGCATTCAATTGGCAAATGTTCATTCAATCAATAAACAATATCCATACAAACAGTTTGTACCTCAGATTTTCATATCATTAAATCGACCGTGAACTGACAATACCTCATATCTGATTATATGGTTGATTCTATTTCCTATCTGCACTAAACGAAAGTGAAATGCCGCATTAATACTAATCACATTATCAATACTTGTTAGAAGCAGTTTATTATAATTTTTTAAATCATATAAATGGTAAAAAGTGTTATGGTTGAGGGCGAAAACAAAACAAAAAATATATATATTCATTTTTTCGTCTTATGGAGTTATTTAATTTGCACATGGGAGGTATTGTAGGGCACCATCGTGCCTTAAAAAATATTCAATATATTAAACAAAATGCGTAATTCATTAAGATTTCCTATTTAAGAATAAGAATAACCTATTTTAATATATTTTATTTTTCTTCTCTTCTCTCAGTTTCTTTTAATTTGTTAATAACGGGTAGATAGTATAGTATTCAGTAATACTATAGTAGTAGTAGTATAGTATTCAGTAATTAAGATGTTAACGATTTATCCTGAATCAGCATTGATTTTACCTAGTACATTGTTGAAAAAAAACAATTTTGATAAGATATGTTATTTCAATGTATACTTATATGAAGACGTATATCCTTTGATTTTTTTTTTTTAAGCTTGGATATTTATTTAGCAATATTTCAGAAATATTAGTATCATGAAATGCATTTAAAATTAATAAAGTAAAAGATTGAATTTTACAGAAATTAGAAAAGCTAATTTAGAAATTTTAAAAATCAGTATTTAAGCGAAATTCGCACATTTCTTTTTTATATATTTTAAAATAAAGGAAATACCTGAGCAACTGTGGTTAAAATAATTTTTAAACATTTCATTTGCGATTTGATAAAAAGAGCCACATCAAACGTTGCCACAAGACATACGCGGGTTGGCACCCCTAGTTTAAGCTAAACCCATTAATATTAATTCATACATTGGTGATACAAAAATAACATTTATAAAATTTGAAAGAAATTTATACAAAAAGTTTAAATCGGTGAAATCTTTTTTCAGATGTTTTATGTTATGATGTGTTTATTGTTTCATTACTCCTTTGCTTTTATACAACATGAAAATCAGCAAATTGAAATCCTCAATAAACTGATACCTCAGATCCTTCTGGAAATGCCAGATTGTTTGGTAATCATTTTGTCTGATTCAAATGACCTCAAAGTGCCAAAGGATCATTTACAAATGAGATTTTCTTCAAGTTGGGATGAACTACCAGCATTCCTCAAAGAGACTTATGAACTGAAATGTAATGGGTAAGTCAGATTTTTAAATTTTTGAAAGGATGATCTGTATCTAAGTAGGTGAGTAGCATAATTTTCCGATTTATGATAACTTTAATCGATTTTATTTAAGATGTTTTTCTGTAATTATGAATTATTAAATGAATTAGAACGATATTATGTGACAGCTATTTGGTTGATGAAGAAAGCGCTGAGTACTTTTTATCATCACTCAAAAAGGTGCGGTTACTTGCTAATGTAAGGCAGGTTCCAAAAATCGCAGTAATTCCGAATAAAATTGGTGATTACTCAGAGGTTTTATTTAGAAGTGAAGAAACAGCCTTCATTCCAGATATGATCATCATTCAGATTGACAGTAAGAAATTTATTTATTTGTTTATACCCTATTGCACAGGAGGGAAACCTTGTGGCCTTCTTGAGCTAGCTGGGGACCCTCGTTAATTATTACGTGATCTTTATTAACCTAGCGATAGAATTAATTAATATTTAATTATTTATGTGAAAATTAATATAATTTAGTAGAATATATGAGCGAGAATTGATAACAATTCAGGAGAACGTTTTTTACCGCCCTATGTATATCACAACTTTCATAAATTGTTGCATAAGTCAAAATGTTATTATTAAACACAACAATAATAATACTGCCCAACAAATATTTTCCTCTGATTTGTTTCACTTATTGCTTCCTTTAATCACTCAAAATTCACACCATCAGTGATCAGAATCCCTGAAGTGGAGGGATTTCGAGAGATGTAAAGCTCTAACATTCTGGTTTCTCCCCAAACTGTCTTTCTTGTCTTCTCTTTTAAAAAAAAAAATCGAAATAATGTAAATTAAACTTTAAAATATATATATATTAAAATGTTTTTATAATATTGAAAGGATCTTTAGAGAATTATAACCAAAAATTATATAATTAACGTGTGTGAACTCCACTTAAAAAAAACATTACTACTACTAATAATTACCACTTCAAAATTATTAGAAACCATATTACCACGTCTCCATTATACCTACCTAGTTTTAATCTGAAATGGTAACTAAACTTTTTAATAAATTTGTTATGTTATATAGATTCGTCAAGTGAAAAAAGATTGGTGGTGATAACTAATGATTTTCAAGGCAAAAAAAGATCACTTAAAGGTGAAGTAATTGGAATTTGGCCTGACGATGACATAGTCTTCTTTCCTGACAAACTGGCTGACTTGAAGGGCAAAGGTGAGGAAATAGACTTTTATAAAACAACAAATTATTTTATTTAAAAAAAAAATTTATATTTTTTGTAGAATTGTATTCTTCAGTGGTTCATTACCCTCCATACGTCCTTGCTCAAGATCCAGTAGATGGAGTGGAAGTCAGACCACAATTGGAATTCTGTCGAGTACATAATTGCTCTCTCAAGATTAGAACTAGTAAATACTTGTGGGGTGATATATGGCCTAATGGAAGTGGGAATGGTAAGCAACAAGCTACGCAAATCAAAAACTAAATTCATACTTCAGACAGATTCTATTTTTCTATAAAATAAATCAAACATTGGCACACTCTCGTTAAATTATAGTACTTGTGTTTATTTTCTGACTTTATCCTCAACCACCCAACCATATTAGCAATTGCTTTAGTGTATTGTTTAGTTTCCCCGTGATCATTAAACTTCTACTTTGATTATAAATTGGCTAACTTTGAAGTTATTATTGCAGGTATATTTGGAGAAGTTTTTCTTGATCAATCTGACTTTGGAGTTGGTGGATTATACACCTGGCTTGAAGCATATCAGTATTTGGATTATAGTACTCCATACGGGATAGGCCGTATCAATGTCCTCGTGCCAAAACCAACAAGAGTCGATGAATGGAAGACAGTTTTTATGCCATTTTCGTCAGCTATGTGGTCAATCTTAGTATTTTCTATCTTAGCTGCTGCAACCATGATGCACTGTGCAAATATAGTGGCCGGGACGATAAGTGATGGTGAATATTTATTAATTATTTCAATTGAGAATCCTTGTTTTATTTTTATAACGATAGCAATTTAATATATTTGAAGAGTCATTGCTACTTAGTCATTTCTTCAATTTATTATCTTCTTTCTATGAAAACTACTGGTATGCTCAAGTGTTGGATCTTAAGCCTGGTTAAATTAAAGATGGAAAAAGTCCCCTTAATGCCACAATAGCCTTAGCTTAAAAAAATTTGTTTCTGAAATTAACATTTTTTTTCATATATTTTGTATGAAGGGGTCTTCAAAATAAAAATTAAAAAAAGGTATTTCTATTTAGCAATGTTTCTAATTACTACTTTCAATATTTTTTTTTATTATTATTTATTTATTGAATAATATAACAATCTCCCTCATGGACATTGGTTATAGAGAGGTAAGATAACATTCACACAATATGTACAAAAACAAATTATAAAATAAACAGAAGGAAAATAACTAAATAATAATCAAACTTCCAATCTATGCGATTTTTACAAAAGACAGTATTTTCATCTTAAAGGACCAATGTTATACAAAATTTCATCCTTATTCCATTGGTATTCTTTAGTTTTTAAACCATATTGCTTCTTTTATAACATTTTTTATGTGGAAGTGGTATTGTTGTTCTACCTCAATGTTAAAGATAGTTCAATGACTGCTGAAATACCGTAATTATTAAAAATATATTTTGCAAGAATGTTACCATTGCTCTGACATAAACCTTAGCATTATTATTATTTGTTATGATATATACACTTGTCTGATAACCTTTATGAAGAAACACTGAAGGCCTGCAACTTAGGGCGAAACGTTGGCTCAAAGGAAATAAGAATAAATATAATTTATTTATTTTTACTTTTTAGTTTCATTGATTGAAAATCCCAATCTTCTTCTCTTCAATACTATGATATTATGTCACTCAAGAGATAAGGAGGTCCTAAACATTTAGGTTCTGACCTCAGTGTCTGGATCTTGAAAAGTCACTTGTCAGAAGAAGTTACATAAATAAAACATTTAGGGGTGGAATTTCGTGAGCTAATTAATGGTAATTAGCAATTTGACATATTCTAAGATTTAAAATTTTTTTCTCAATCCAATTACACTTTAAGATTCTCGAATTTAACAACACTGTTTCGATTCCACCCTAGACGGGTTAAGATTTATTTTGTGGAAGACCCACGGAATGAATCTTGGTATTGTTAAATACTTGACCTTCTCACTCTGGTTAGAATAGGTTTGGTTGTACCTCTAGAACAACCTCTCCTCTCTCCCTCACCTCTGTAAGCCAGAAATGGTTTAAAAGCTTTATTAATAATTAATTATTGAATAAATAAGATAGAAACTAAATGATTTTCTATAAATTGAAGGTACCCAATAATTACTTATTAATTATTTCCAGAACTATAATTTTTACATTTTGACATCCAGTGATAATTAATTAATTATTTCAAGAACTTATCCTTGGAGGAGAATTCGAATCTTGGGTTGGAACATTTTTCCGTGCCATTGGAATGTCTTTACTGCAAGCACCTCCAACTGTTTTAGCAGCTTCACCGTTACGAAGGTTTTTCACCATATTTGAAGTTCTTTTTCTTTTGTTCACCACTATTTATGCTGGAGCCATCGCTTCTGTGCTCACAATTCCAAAGTAAAGATATTCTTTAAGCTATAATATATATACATTTTTTTAATATATAATTTTATTTTTAGAATAATATTAATATACAATAATACTAACTAGAAGTGGAAATTTTGGCATCGCTTCGTCAATGGAAGAATCGCAGGCATGAAAAAAATAGGAATTGATAAAAATCTCTCAAAGATTTAAATATTATTTATATTAAAAGGAAAAAAGATGCTTTAATTTCTCAACCATCTTTATTTTAACTTTCTAAGAAATTTTGAAGTATCAGAAGAAAAAACAGAGAAGACTGGCTACTACGATTGAGGAAATCAATGATTCTTCAATGAACAGTAGAACTATAGCAGAAGAAGAAGGGAAAAAAATCTACCTATCACATTCAATGTATTCAATGTATTAACGAATCTTTGTGATGATCTTAGAAAATTATTAAATTTTTTAAACCATTTCCTGTCAATAGACTAAATGTTTTGTTATGTTTCATAAATTTTTCCATGTTTTCAATTGAATGTATTATTTTACTGTGGTTTTTATATACAGCAGTGTGCTAATATTTCAAAACGTATACCATTTTAGATATAATCCAGCTATTGATTCTGCTTTGGAATTGTATAAATCTGGTCTTCACTGGGTTGCACTTCATGAAGTTTGGATATTATCATTAGTAGAGTCAGCAGAGCCATATATAAAAGAGCTTGTGGCTAGGTTCGAAACCCAGAATGCAGAAACAATGGTTAGATATGCAAAGGAAGGAGTTTATGCAATTGGAATTGAATTAATGGAAACAGGTATTTTTTTAAATGAATTTATTTTCAGATAGGTATCCTACTTTATAGCTCTATTCTCATGATCAATAATTTGAATTTATAGAAAAGAACATTATAAACAGAAATACCAATATAATGATAAAAACTTGTAAAAATATGAACCAAATCAGCCCATAGAAAATATTTTGTTTTGGTTTCCAATTCAATTATAATTAATCTTTTAGTAGTTTTTTTTTATTTAGTAAGAAAATTTAAATGAAACAAATGAGGAGGTAGAATTAAAAATAAATTATGGATTTCAGAAGATATTGATTTAACATTTAGGGTACCATGAGACTAAAAAAATTATTCCTGGAGAACCTACTTTTATTTTTGATATTTCTGTTGTCCTGTGTTTTTGAGACCTCCTTATTCTGTTAAAAATGAACATGCAACGAACATGATAATAATCAGTGATTACGATTACAGTAATTATGATTACCTCATTACGATTATAGTGATTTTGATTAGATGATTACATGATTATAATTGTAATCAGGTTATTAGGTAATCGTGTCTTGTTTTTACTATATTTGTAGTGCTTTTGAATCAAGTATAAAATTGAAGTTGTCATTAAGTAGTATTTTAAGCTGTAATCATGTAATCATTGATTCCAATTTTGCCTATCTCGGCAATGAACCCATTTTCAATGAAATACTAGGTTTTTATAACTGTTAGTTCTAAATAATCATACATCTAACCAGTTACCGTGATTTAGGTAGTTGGAGTAATTTTAAATCAGTTGTAAAAATAACAATTACTTTCATAAACTTGCAATTTGGTTTAATCGGACATTTAGATGCATAAACTGCGTATTTTTTTTAGAGAGTTTTGTTTATAGCTGAACCCAGATATGAACTAAAACAATAATTTTTTTGAGAAGGAGTTAGTCGAGGATGCGGTCAAATAAATAAAAAATAATTAATATATTTTAATTTTTTATTTATTTGACCGCACCCTCGACTAACTCCTTCTCATATTATATCAACGGTCAACCATCTCTACATCATTAATAATTTTTTTGGTATTTGTATCAGGTTTTACTAAACTGTCAGCTTAAATCAATTGTCTTGAAATTGATATCTAATAACTCCCACGGTTATAGCAATTTTTGTAAAACTTCAATAAAATTTTTAAGTTTTGCCGTAGTAAACATCTTAAAAATTGTTTCTCCTCCCCCAGAACTTTATACAGGAAATCAACAAAAGTTTGTGACCTTTTTATTGATTTTTTTTTTTAATTCATGGATATTTTGTAGATGAAAATATATGGAAAAGATATTGTATCTCTGTGTATTTCTGTTGCAACCCATGAAAGGTTTGGAGTACTTTCTCTTAAAAAAACATTATAGAAGGATGTGGTGATAGTGCCATTAAATCTCATGTTCAAATCTTTTTCTCCCATCCTAATGGGTGGCCATGTACCCAGTTAGGATTTATATTCTTGTGTATACATTGTATATACTAGTAGTATATATAGTATATACATGTATACACTAGTACTGGTAACAGGAGGGATCATATTGGTCCATTTTGTTTAAAATGAATAACCTATGGATAAAACCATCACTTCTATATTACAAATCTTCTTGACATTCTAATGAAAACCAGAAGGGATGACCATTTAAGCTTTATGATTGTAGATTCTGTCTGAATTCAGTAAATTGAAGTCTTCTATAGATTGTATAGCAGTCTCTGATGCTTGTCTGCATTTATGGCAAATTTTCTCAGCCACCACTTAATAAATCATTAAATGTCTTCTGAGCCTGCAGTGGCCAGTGAGTAATCCAATGAGTAATTGGAGTTCAATTTTTTTTGCACAGCTACTTGGTTCTACAAGTGAAAACTTTTTTTGTAAATGGAATTTTCATTGTTTTTCAGCCTTCTCCATTATGATTTTTTAGTAGAATATCAGCTACATGTAGCGTTTCATTGGAATTAAAACACCAATAGGTAAAAGGCCATCTGTAAATTTTTACCATATTACGTTTTTGTGATGGAAAAGCTAATTTTTTAAATCTCTGAAAATGACATTATTTTTCTTACTGCTACATGTAAAAATGGATCTTTTGGAATTATTTGTACTACTGAGAAACTAACAATGGATGTTTTAAAGTGGAACCATAATTTCCAAGCAATGTTACAGTCAACAACTTCAACTTAGGATCTCAAAGTCCTGACATCAATATGTTAAACATGTATTTCTTTGTTCAACAATACAGTACGATTTTGACATTTCCTTTGAAGACAGGCTTGGAATCCTGAAATTAGAGTCATAGAAAACAAACTATATTTCTTTATCAATATATTAACATGAATAAATATCAACATGTTATAGCTTTAACATGTTATCAACTGTAAAAGTATGTTTAACAGTGGCACAGTATAGATAATAAAATTTAATGCAAAATTACTTATTTATTTAATGTTTTGGGAAGGAAAAAATTAAGAAATAATAAATTGCAAATACAGCAAAATTGATGTATTACTTTTTTAAAAAGGTCAAATGATTGAAGCAAACTATTTATCAGTGGAGATAGTTGCCAACCATCATACAATGAAGAACGATATAAGTTGGTCTCATGTTATCATGCTTCATAGAAAAGGTAATATTGTATAGTTATGTCCATTTAAGAAATTTTGAATTTGATAGTAAGTTTTATATTTATATCAGCTACTGCAGCTGATAAATAATAAATTTTGTTTCCTTAGGCTCACCTTATTTGGAAGAGATGAACCGTGTGATTGGTAGGTGTCGTGCAGCTGGGCTCTTTCTTCTTTGGGCTACAAACATTACTACAAGTCATCTTAGTAGTAGATTTCAAATAGCTACGCAGATCAGCAAAGCAAGTACCAAAGTTGAGATGGATCAGCCAATAAAATTGAAACTTTTACATATTCGTGGAGCATTTATGTTGCTTGCTGCTGGAATGTTACTATCCTGTTTGGTTCTTTTCATAGAGATAATAAAGTCTAAACTTTTTGATACTAAACGTATTAGGCCTAAATAAATTATTGATATTAGAATAAATATCAGAAAAGATTGCTTCAAGGAAACCTTATAGTAGTCACAGTAATTGTTACAGTTAAAAGTACAACAGCTTGTAATTCATTATTATAGTTTTCTTGTATCATAATATTCAGAACAAAATTTAGATTTTTAAATTTCACAAATTATTTGTTTACCTGAATGTCTTTAAGTAATGCATATATGAATATAATGTTTAAGCAGGTGATGAATAAAAGTGAAAAATTTTGTTTGATTCAATAAAAAAAATACTTTATAGTTACTAAGTTATAGAGAATAAATATAGATCCCTCTTGTCTTTAGTTTACTAAGGATACAAATAAATATATTTCAATTTTTTTTTATGACATTGAAAAAATTAGTCCAACTATACACACTCCCAAGCTGCTTGCACTATTTTCATCCGATTAACTTATATTTTAGATTTTTTTCCTGGGACATGAAATCAGTTGAAGTATGATTCTCTGTTTCTTCTTGAGAAAACTTAATTCAGTTATTTTTGTAGTTTGCTTAAATATCACTCCTTTACTGTAAGAGTGACCTAACTAAAAATTTTCTAGTTTAATATTAAGACTTTTAATGGTCAAAAAATGTCAACACTTTTACTTGAAAAATGATTGAATGTAAAATACTGGAGTTTATCGTTTAAAAAATATATAACTCTATGTTAATTGTTGACGAGTATTGATATTTTTATTTTAATAGGAACAAAATTACAGCATTCTTGAAAGAGGGATTTTAAGATAGATCATTCATAATTGTAGTTAAGGTGAGATATATATCTATCTACTTTTATTATATGTACTGACAAGTGATTATAAAGTGAGTATCCAAAATCTACATACAACTATTTTGATAATAAAATAATCATTTATTCAATAAATTCAATTAAATATAAGACCCATTTACTGTACGAATTTAAAATAATTTTATCAAATTAATAAACTGAGGCATAGAAACTCATTTGATCTTAAGACATTGGTGATTAAAGAATTGAAATCACAATTCTTCATCACAATGGCAAAGATAATTGCTTGTAATAGTAAAATCCCATATGGGTAGTGTTTAGTCCCTTTTAATTAGGTAAAAAAAAAAAAAAATTACTAACTGACTTGGGTGAACTGAGGGATGGGACAGAGAGGTTATAAAGAACTAAAGATGACCATGATGTAGAGATGGTTGACCATGATATAATATGAGAAGGAGTTGATCGGTGGGTGCGATCAAATAAATACTAAATTATAGAAATAGTATGATGACCATATTACAATCTACATTCCAAACTATACCTCACAAAACTACAATATACATAAATTCATTATAAGTTGACCCAATTCCTTACAGAATACATTGTAAACCTACAACTAATATGTCAATAGATGCCAATCAAATACATAAGAGATTCCAGCTATAAATTACAAATGTATATAAATGTGACAGACTAACTCCCTAAATTTTCCAACACATTTTAACCGAATGCTACTGTTATGAAAACCAAAAATATATTTTGTTGAAATCATAACAAATGTAAGGGGTTAGATGATATTTACGTGAGAGGCCGCTGGTTTGGGTTTCGCGGAACAATTCCAGAAAGAACAAGGAGCTTCCTTGAGGAACTAGGTGTCGCCGTTAAGGATGTAGCGAGGTTGGCTGAAAATATAGTCCTCGACTTCCTGGGAATCATTCACCCCTATGTTCATGGGTAGAGTGAGAGTTTTAATTTATGTATTTATTTATTAAATGAAAAATGTCTATTATATTTGTTTTATATTAAATTTTATTTAATTCTAGATGTATACACTTTTGTTTTTTTGTTATTATTCTATTATAATTTTAAGCATCTTAATTTTGTGTATAGGAGAGGTGTATAAAGAGAGATTGAAAGAGACAGAGAAGTGAGAGAAAAATTAAATGCGTGGAAATGTAGGAAATAAAGAAAATAATAGTAAAAATTAAATGTGGAAATTAAATGTAAAAAAAACAAAAAAAAAACATGAACAATGAAAGGAAATATATATATATATATATTTATATAATATATTATATATATATATATATATAATATACATATATATATATATATATATATATATATATTTATTTATTTATTTATTATACTCATATATACTGACCACTTCTGTATATTAATATATAAGTTTATTTATTGTTCTACAGATTAGCTATGCTGTATTATGGATTAGTATGCTGTGTGTATAGCAACCCAATATAATTGGGCAGAGCAAGCTTTTATATTTTGTATGAAAATAAAGTGTTTCTCTCCCTTAGTAACAAACACAAGAAGCAATGGAAGGAATTCATGAAGATTTCAGAGCTACAATGAAGCCACCGAAGATAGAACTTGTATTGGTTTAACATTTGGAATGGAAACTTATATTATCTTAATTTTAAAGTATATGCTCAGTTTATACTTTATTTTTAACACTTCTGTATAAAATCTCTTTGAAAATTGATAGCTAAAATTTTGAAGTTAATTATTTTGAAGAATTCCTGGAACTGGGTTTTGGACTGATAATTGTTAACAAGAGGAAACCTAGTAATTTCATTAAGAGCTCTATTAAATATTAAGGCATTGAAATAAACGTTTATTTTAATATGACACTATTAATAAATACTTAATTTACAACAATTAAATGAATTGGATCGAGAGATTTTTCCTTTGATTTGAAATGGTTATGGAAAAGCCCTGGCCACACAATAATTTTTATTAAGTTCACAATGACATTACATATTTCTATTTGTAAAAGAAACTAAAAACATTCACATGAATTATTGGCCAAATTTTCAATTAATTGACTATAAAATATTGTTAGTTTTTATCACATAATGTATAAATAAAGCAAATCAAACAATATTTGCTCATTGAAATATTTTTAAAAACTTTCATTTACTCTAAATGTTACATAAATAATATTTCGTTTACATTCCATATTTGATTTTGTGATTTATCATAACTTTTTGCAATTATTAAATGAAATAAATATGTTGATATAAATTAAATTAAATCAATAAATAAGAGAGATATGAGATAAATAAAATTCATAAATCAAAGAATATTTATTTATTTACACAGAAATATTTATATATAAGTCTAAATGCCAGACTGAGAATAGTTTATTTATAGCTTTTGAACACAACAAAAAATAATAATAATATATATATATCACAATTGAAGCTTGAAAATAATTCACTCTGCAAGTGGTTGGTAAAGAAAATCATAAAGTTCACTGGCATCTGGAACTGCTGGGTACCTGTAATTCATTCCATCAGTTGGGATATGGAGTCTCGGGCTATGCATACTGGTCCTTTTTCCGAATCTAAAAATAAAAAAAGCAATAAATTAGTTGAAAGAAGAAATTGTATCTAAAAAAGTTCAAGAAAATAAAAGCTTCAATAAAAGTTACTATAATTTTGTTAATAAATTTACTATAATAGTTGCTAAATTTAATCTATTTCATAGCTGAAAATTGCTGTTGGTTAATATTCTAAAATGTCTGCTTTATATAATAACTTCAATGATTTGTCATTGTATTATTATCTTAAGGTTATTTATCCGAATATCATTCAATAATATTAATTTCAGTCATGAAGGTTATAAATACATCGCTATACCAGATCATGTTAATAATCCACCCTCCTTTTCCCTTAGAGCATATAAATATATCATGTGTGAGTGTGTAAATATATTATAATCTTATACATTTTAAATAATATTCCTTAATGATAGTTTATATTTAAACTTGTAATAACCTAAAAAACTTTTAATCCTATTATAAAATCTTACTACCTAGGATCATTTGGCATCAGCACCATGATTTAAATAAACATCACCTGGAGACAGAGACATTGGAAGCCTTTTTTTTTTTTAATTTTTACTACATGCCTTTAAGATGTTTATTTGAATTTTCCCAAAAGTAATCCAATTATAATATTTGTCTATAATTTCAGTTTTACTCTCAATCTTAAACATTTAATAGATATACAAAATGAAGCCACTATTTTTCGTTTGATACAATTCCTGATAAAGAATAAATAATACTTTCACAGCTTCTTACATTTTACAACTGTTATCATGTACCAAATATCTCCATACTAATAAGTGGAAGTCAATTTGAGGTTGAATGAACACAATAAGTTGTTTAACTATGGATCTTAACATATAACAAAGCTCACTTATTCATTATCAAGATAACTTTAGTGTGCCTAAGCAAGATTATAATTGAGTCCATTTGCCATAAGAAGCTATTGATAATTATGTTATAAATAAAAAAAATAATGACTGCTACTAATGCTAGTTTATTTATGAGGGTGTGTGATTGAATATTCCAATCAAGCCTGCTGAAACTTGTGTGATCATCTTTCTCAGTTTTTATATTAGCGTTTCTCTATGGTGGGTTTCGTTCGATAATATGATATGATCAGAAAGCTATAGGATCTGATGCATTTTCAACTTTGAATAAGCATCATAATTTCAAATTCAATGAATTTTAAACAGCTCAGAAACTACGTCTAATCATAACTTTTTAATTTCTTGCATTAAAGTTTCAAGAAAGAAGCAAATTAAAAATATTTTGAAATGAAAGCAATGCTTCTTATAGCTACATGTAATAGTTATCAATTATGACTACTAAGGAGTAGGGCCCATGAAAGTACACTAAAAAAAATAACTAATATGTATTTACTTCAATAGTTTATAGAAACCTGTTTTTTTGTCAAAATCTAAATAATAGTTTCCAGTTAATAATTCGGAAGCTGTTTTATCATTTTTAGGATCTTATATTTAAAAAAATAAATCAATCATAAAAATTGTTAGCCTTTAATATCTTCAAGAAATAAGACAATGGAAATATTTGTCTATAATTTCTACTATAATTGTTTGTGAAATATATGAAGAAATCTGATCGAATTTTTTAACTTTTAATTTTTAATTATTTTATCCCTATGTTTTTTAAATGCATGTTCTTG